CCGTCTGGCGGCCGTCGTTGCTGAACGAGCTCCCGCCGACGCGATTGGCCACGGCGAGGAGCGTGGCCACGTATGCCGGCCATGGCTGCCAGGCGGCGATGCAGATTTGCTTGAGATCGTGTGTCATGGTCTCGGAGAGGGGCGCAATCATGAGCAGCGAGGGGATGAACATGGCCACGGTGAAGACGTGAGGCAGCGCCTTGAGCACCACGCGAGGAATCCGCATGTTCTCGGCCGTCGGGCCGGCCGCCGTGACGGCGTCGCAGAGGTGCAAGAAGGCATAGAGGGGAGTGGCAAAGGCGAACGTGAGCACCTGAGCCGCGAGACCGAGAACCGCCGGGCTACCATTGACGGCGTGTTAGCATCGGAGAAAGGGGGCAGGCGTGCAGAATCATGGGGCCTTTCATCCGACTCACAAGGCGGCAACGGTCCGGGCATTTCCCTTGCGCCACGACTCGAGCGTCACCAGGATCCACGCCGAGAGGCAAAGGTCCCCGAGAAGGCAATCGAGTGCAGCGTCAGCCCCGGCTGGCTCCCGTCGCCGACGGGCCAGAAGAAGACGGTCAGGGTGGCGAGCAGCTGGTCGAGATGCGGGAGACCCGTGTAGCGCGTCCGGAGCGGCACGTCGAGGCCGGGTAGCTTCTCGGCGTGCTGCGCCGCGTCGCCCAGCGCCCGGAGGCCATTGGCGTCAGAGAAGTAGAAGACGAAGTAGAAGACGGAGAGCGAGAGCAGCGGAAGCAGCAGCTTGGCGGACATTTCGGGCGCGTCAGGTTCCTCCGGTTGCTGGTGAATCTGGCGATGGTTGGGACGGTTCAAGTGGCGGCCACGTCTGGAACTTTATCGTTGTCCTTGGATGCAGAAACGGACGGGGACCAAGGCCCGGCTTCACGCTCCATCTTGTCTCCATCCCGTTCCTGTTTGTCTCGTGCCGAGACGCCGCCGGTGAAATTTGGCGGTTGTGCTGATGTGCCGTTTCGCGGAAGGGTTAGAAGCTCGTGGAGAAGGGCGGAGCTCCGGATGGAAGAGTCGGCCCGAACGGGGATGCCACATGTTTTTTTTCCTTTTTCTATTTCCTTTCAGGGGCCAGGTCAGAAAGGTGATTTCTCTTAGTCACGGCAGTAATAAGTGAGATATATTTGAAGATATGACTGGGAATCCATTGGCCGACCGAGTTGCGCATCGGCGCCGCGTTATTTTAGGTGCCTAGTCTAGACCCTGAGGTAATGGTAGTTGTCGCAGTCGGCTGCGGCGGGTGCAAGACTGAGTTGTAGTCATCATAAACGGTGCCGTCAACGTGCATGCGGCCTTCCTCTGCTAGATAGCTTTCATCTGTCTGTATTGTTCCGTCGTCCCTGTCACGGGACCTGCTTGTGCCGCCCGGTTGAATTTCCTCCCGTTTGATGGTGGTTGTCACGAGTATACCCCCACAACAATGAGGCTCATCCGCGTTTGAGTGACTTTTCGTCGAACATCGATCCATGGCGGAGAGAGAAACTCTGCCAGGAGCTGAAGATGTAGATTGCGAAGAGCGAGGCTTAAGCTCTTGTGTCATGCTTGGTCTCAGCGATCCATTGGCTTCTCTATCTGTCGAGGCCATGCTCGCGGTGCCGGCATTGTCCCTGGAGGTGATGCATTGGATGACAATGGCAGAGAACAAAACTGGCAATTTTAATGTCACGATTCCAAATTCACCGCGCCATGTGGGCAGAAGGAGAAAGACTTACTGTCGCAATTGCAGCACAGCAAGCAGATCCAGCCTGCTTCTCCGTGGAGCGCCATAAGGAGAGTAACGTTGCTATATCCGCATAAGATACTATTTGCGTACAACGAATTTGCGACCATCATTCAGCTAGCACCTACAGTATACTGATCGTCAGCGTGGCGATGGCGCCACAAAGGCTTCGCATAGCAACGCTTCGTAGTCTCAAGGTCGCCGGTGTTCGGGGCATGCCCTTGTACGAATAAAGGTCTATGCATGTACAAGTCAAACATCCATGGATGGCTGCCAGTGTAAAGATATCATGTGGAACTTACTGCAGAGCGGAACAAGGAAAAGAAGCGTCAGGTAGATATTGGCTACAGTGTCAAAGGCGAGGAGCGGGATTATGGCAATATTTTCTACGCCAAGCACGCATACGCCGTTTTCATGCTTGGCTATACGGCTGTGAATGCGTAAGTATGTTTTGGTGCACTCCAGGTTTAAGTAGCTATGAGAGCGGCTCTTACAAGATGAGGCAGAGGACCAAGAGAACCACAGGCAATCCGACCATGCCGAAACAGTTGAACAGGTACAGCTTGGAGCGCATTCTCTTCTTGGAAGTGCATCGTACAAAATGCTGTCAACTGCTGCGTCAGCCCTACATTGCAAACACAAAACGGCATGGTGTATTGCACAAGACGCACCGCCCTTTCGACCAAGAATAGGTAAATGAACTTGATGTCTACGTTGGTATTGCGGCAGAAAAGCTTGGGTGTCCGGGGACACTTACAATCTAGCACCGCATGCTCGTTAGCTGATGTCTACAAGACAAAGTAGAACAAAAAAAAGAATCTTTATTTCCAGCAGAGTAAGCTCACCTTGGAGGTAAGATAACACGTTATACAAATTGAAACGGCCCATTGACAAATGGCGAGACTCGAGTTCACGCCGACAGATTGTTGCAGTATAGCCGAGGCAAAAACGAATATGTACGAGTCGACGTATATGGCAAAGACCACTGTGCCCAACGCCACGTCAGACAGGAGCCGACGCACAAGATGCGATTGACATGACTTACACCAAACCAGGAATGGGAGCCGAGTCCAAAACTTGATGACCAGGCATCTCTGAGCTGCAACCCGTCAACAAGGGTACAGCAACTCTCCGGCGCCGCTCAAGGGATGTGGGAATGGGACCTACTCAGGAATAAAGTAAGGATTGTAATCGACAAGAGCGATATTACCATGCATATAATCCGCCCAACGAGGGGGACCGGCTCTCCTGCAGACATTGTGAAGAGGTGTATTCCGTATAGGTCTCGGTCAAAGCGCACCTGGGGCTCTTGTCTCGCCTCTTGAAGCTATCGGCCAAGGGTTATAAGCTTGACATTGGAAACCACGGGTGCAAATTTGCGGCCAAGTGCGACCAGAGGTGCAACTTGATCAAGCGAGAGAAGTCTGGTAGTCAAACGAACTTGCTTGTTAAGGGAGCAAAACTATTCGCATTGGGAGTGATTATAACCTATCCCTTCGGCCGGCGAAAAGGAGCCCATCTGACGGAGACCCGGCGCAGAGGCCAAATTTTTGCCTCGAAACTCGTGGGCAGAAAAACAAGACCAAGGCATGGAATATTAGCAAGAGGAACGTGACGCAGTGCATAAAAAGCAAACTTTGAACATTTGCGCGCGAGGCCAGCAAAAAGCAACCGTTGACATGTAGACAGGAGCTACGGAGTACGTTGAGCCGCCTTCAATCTTGCTGCTAAGCACCACCTTTGGCAGTGAGGGCTTTGCTAGCTGAACCATCTAAAGTGGGGCGTGGCACGGGCAGGCCAATGGCAAGCTGCCCTTGCTCGAGGCTCGAATATGCTGTGCTGCGGTTTCTTGCGGCTTGGAGCTTTGGCTCCGTCTGGTGGCTTGTATGGAGCCAATGTGATGCCGTTGTTGGATCGGGGCCCGATCGATAAGTGGCGATTACGTCTTGTTGACATTTCTTCAACAAGACGTGTGCTTGACTCGTGCAAGCGTGACTCGCGCAAGTGTGCACGCGAATGCGTACGAAGAAGCAAGATAACCTTTATCCATCGAGATGGACACATGTTCTCGCCGCCACATGGCTTTTTTAGCAAGACGGGAAGAAGGAATAAAAAGTAAAAAACAGGCCATCGACACCATCGTGTCTATTTCATGTATTTTCTCAGCTGCGCCGGCCACAGTCCCTCGTAAATGGTAGTTCATGTCATCAAGATGCAGGAACGCCTCCGTCACCAAGAACCCTGCCAATGCTCACCAACTGATCAGAAAGCCCTCACGAGCTGGCTTGGGTTATCAGGTAAAAGATAGCTTGGCATTTGTGGGCAGTGGCAAGCTCCCAAGCCACGTCCCTCCGAGACCTCGTCGTATCATGTAAAATCCGATTGTGAGGAAAAACCCGTCATGTTATATATGGTGCCGTGACGTGGTTCCAGCCATGTCACCACTTCCAAAACGCGAATCCTCCCCGAGCGATTTCCTTTCCATGATATAAGCAAAATGAAAGCTACAGACTTTGATGCCAGTTCGCAACGGTCAGGATTCTCGCCAATAAATAAATGGCTGCTATTTTGAGACTTTTCTTTGTTTCCGCCCCCGCAAAATGTGCCTCACGTATAATTATAGAAACATGTTCCCTTGGCTGTCCGTCATCTTCTCAGCCCAAAACCGCCATCTGGTTGAACATCACTTGTCACTATGTAGCCTAGTTCGGGACGAGCCAAATTTACCAGAGATGTCGATTTTTTCCGCTTTTGGGTTTTTCGTGTTCCGCCGTGAAAACTGTCATAGTTTCGCCCCGAGCCCCGGTGAGGCGAATTTAGAGCAGAGGCTCAGCACATCTTCCCACTCATTGTCAGAAACCAACGGCGAAGTCACGAAGGGTTTGGCCCCTGTTTTTTCAAGCATTCCATCCAGGTTTGGCAGCAAGGCTTCATAGGCATCGACTTCCATGCCCAAAATATGCTTTCGGGTGAGCCCCAAGTGCTCCATGTACCAGGCTGCGTCTTCGGCAATACACATCTTCTCAAAGGCGTCGATGACGTTGGACGAGACGCGGGTCGATTGCCTTGCTGCTTCAAACGCCATGCGCTGGCCGATGGCGAGGACGAAAGATTGGCACAGAGGAGCGATTCGTTTATTGAAGAGCACATTCCGTTCAGACGGAGACGTACTGCCGCGTAAATCATCTTGCAGCTCAGAAAACACGCCTGCCTCATGCCTTGCGAGGGTGGAATCTTGGTCCGCGGGTTTGGGAAGGACACATCGCCCGGTTAGGAGTTCATGCGCTAAACCTGCGGAAGAAGTTGTCAATAGAGTATCAGGCATCGAGGAGGTCTTGGACGTCTTGGCATACGAAGAGACAGGACATGTACATCTCCCTCCCCGGTTGCGTTGCCCGAAAACGACAAGTACAGCTCGGCAATTTGGTTATGGGTAAAATAGCCGCGCCAGCCACAACGTTCCGCCAGTTCGGACAAGACACCGTGATAGTGTACAGCGGTGGCTTTGAAAACAACCGCTATATTGCGGCGTGTGTTGATGGACACGTCTGGCTTCCTCAGGATACTGATGCACCATTCTGCCAGTATACTTAGCATTTCCGCCGCTACGAGTCCCCTTAGGACGGGCCTATACTGCGTGCTGAATGAAATTATGGGAACGGCTTCTCTATCTGCAGAATACTGGACAAATCGGCGCTTGCCGTAGCGGGCTGCGATATAAGTACCAATCTTGAGGCAGCTGATATGGCCCAAAGACAGCGCAATCGCACCAACCGACAACCTCCAAAGTTGGCGGTGAATATCGTCATGAAAGTTGTCAGGCTTTGAGGTTGTTCCCAGGAGCGCGCTAGAGGGCAGCTTAACGTGATTGAATGATGTGATTGAATGGTCCAACGGGGTCGTCCCCGGTCGCACGGGTAGCAGCCACGACGTTATTCCCGGATACTGGCTAGAAGAACTGGCAAGGGGCACTAAAAAGAGCTTCAAACCTCTGTCTTCGCCTTTCACAAAAAGTCTAGCCATGACTATGCCCACCCGCCTCACCCGTGCCAGTGGTGTGGAAGGTGGCATGGACTTGGCTGCATTTCGATTTGGCGTGTGAAGATCAAAGGAGCCATCTGGCAAGGCTATTGCCGTCGTTTCCAAGTTTCTGATGTCCAGGCCATGGCCAAACTCGGTCAGGAGGAAAGAAGCGCAAGTTTCAAAGGCCATTAGTTCCTTCAACAAGGGACGCAGATCTGGGCGGTGCTCCAAAGCCCCTATGGTACCAACACACAGATTTAGGTGAATTTGCGATATCAGAAACGCGCCGATGTCTCGGGTCATGAGTACTATCAAAATGTCAGAATTTTGGACTAGGATGGCTTCGCTGCCAGATGTTGCTACAATTCAGATGAAAGTCCCAGAACTTGGGTTTTAACTGTACGATATCGTCGACTGTTAAGCCTGTGGAGAGAAGTTAGCCATATCGTCAAGTCGAGTCTTCTAGAAGCAAAGAATATGACATGCCGGAGTTTACAACCAAGGACTTGGCTCTTTCGTAGACACCAGAGTACGCTTCCGGCGACGCCATACAGACCTGATTAGGCTTGAGAGCCCAAGTCGTGTCCTCCAACACTGACTCGGGAAACGACATGGTAGTCCAAATGCGCAACAAAATTATAAACTCAAGCTTATTATGTGGGCATTTATTTGAGGGCGACTGTGGCAAGGCAGGGGTACTGGGCTTGGAGCATATAGTTCGGTTCAATCTGTAATAATCGAATTTGAGGTATCAAGAGTCCTTGGTTTTCCAAGAGGCCTTGAGGGACCAGAGGTCTTTATATGTACAAGAAGTCGGTGTGTGCCGGAGGCCCGGCGCAGCTCCCGTCCGGCCTCGGGCCTCGTGATACCTTCTTTGTTGTTGTGTGAGCGTTGTTGGCCCAATGCCTTTGTTGTGGCCTAGCCGTGTGACGGTGTGTGTATTGTGGAAATCCAGGTTCGGAAAAATCACTCAAGAAACGGTACGCATGCCACAGCTGACCACGCCAAATGTGGTTGATTGCTCTTGGAAGCCAAGGCCTGGACCATTTACACACCGTCTTTCGCGGCCTTTCCGTGCGTGGCTTTATGCAATGCTACCATGCAACTCAGATTCCTCCCGTGTCGTATGAGCTCCGAGCCGTGCCGTCCGCGGCCGATGCTAAAACTAGATGACACTATCAGGATGAAGACCTTAGCTGACCATGTTTCAACAAATCCAGGTTTGTGGGGTTGGTGAAGGCGATATCTTAGGGTAAGTCATCAATTCGGCCCGTTGTCAACAAGCTGGACCATTTATCTATGAGGTTCAACCTCGGTTGTATTTTTCAGGTAAGCATCTAATTGGGAAATCTAGGAGCTCACTGAAATCTATCCTTGTTGACCAATCAAAAGGTGTCGTGTACCAAGTACGACTGTCATAGAGGCCTCAATTCCGTAGAAAGATGGCGTCAGTCGAGGACACGATCAACCGTTCAATTCAATTCACAGCTGCCAATCGTGATAGTGAGAGCCGGCATGGATGTATTGGATCAACGATAGGCTCAATAGCGGTTGTGGATTTAGTTAAACCGCGGAATTGATGCTTGATTGCACCAATCTAGCTGTGAAGTAAAATTTCCTTCATACCTGATGAGGACTGTTCGTACGAACAGCTCTGGCTCTATTGGGGCTTAGAATTTTCCAAATTCTTCAAGCCATCGCAGGTGCTGCACCATTTATGCTATTATATTATTATGATTACTCAAAGACTTTATTGCCGCGACATTATTCCTCCCAAACAAGGACAATGAAGGACAGAGGAAAATCACTATCGTATTCTGCCTATAACCCGGAAGCTATTTCCTAAGGGATATTTTGTATATTGATTGGAGCAAGTATATTATAGTATGATGATATATAGGATTATATTATAGTATGATGATATATAGGATTATATTATAGTATGATGATATATAGGATTATATTATAGTATGATGATATATAGGATTATATTATAGTATGATGATATATAGGATTATATTATAGTATGATGATATATAGGATTATATTATAGTATGATGATATATAGGATTATATTATAGTATGATGATATATAGGATTATATTATAGTATGATGATATATAGGATTATATTATAGTATGATGATATATAGGATTATATTATAGTATGATGATATATAGGATTATATTATAGTATGATGATATATAGGATTATATTATAGTATGATGATATATAGGATTATATTATAGTATGATGATATATAGGATTATATTATAGTATGATGATATATAGGATTATATTATAGTATGATGATATATAGGATTATATTATAATATGGTAATATATAGGATAACGGGCTTGGATATGAGGAATCTAGTCGAATTTGGTCAGTAGTTGCGTGTTTTTGTGGCTCATTCTAAACACGAGGCCTAATAGAAATTCTTGCCCCAGAAACGGACGCTTGCAGCTCTGTGGCATACAGAAAAGGCAAAAGGGAAAAAAAGGACGATAGAAGAGTGTGCTAAGATGCAGGATACGAAGGAGCTACCTTGGCGTCTTCCACGCCCCGACGCGAGTATTCTCAGATACAAGTTATAACGTAATAGAAATAGCAAATGATGTCGGGCTATAACGTGTTATCACAGAAAAAAGATGCAGGGTCTTCGGGGTAGCCGTTTATGTCTTTGCTTTGAGACTGATCTATAAAATAGGAGCTCATTGGAGATGGTCAAATGACATCTCATGACAACCTAGCATCCGCACGTGTTACGGAAATGACACAATACGATTCCCTCAGTTCGACATACAACGTGTTTGACACGCTTCCATATAGGCAAATGGAATGGGAGAACGTTTTTCGAGCCGTCAGTCCGTTACTGCGGCCCGAAATGAAAGTGCTCGAATTGGCGTGTGGTACTGGCTTCTACACGTCGAGGTTTCTCGATTGGGGGGTCACGGACATGACAGCAGTCGATATTTCTCGTCCCATGCTTGCCGAGGCCGCCATTCGAGCACATAAATATGTCGAGGCCGGAAACCTGCGACTCATTGCGGCAGACTGCACCAAGATTCAATCGTTTGCGCCTGATCACAGCTCGTGTTACTTTGATCTGGCCTTTGGCGCTTGGTTTCTAAACTATGCCGATGATAAAGGCCAGCTGAGAGCCATGTTTCGAAACATTGCGCAAAATCTTCGCCCTGGCGCTCCTTTTATAGGCGTAGTGCCTCATCCGACGGATGATGTTGCTTCTCGAGCTGAAGTTTATAACAAGCCACCGTTTAACAGAATGTTCCCAAGAAATGAGTACACAGAAAATCTGGAATCAGGCGACGGTTACGGCCTCCGAGTATTCCTGAATAATAATGGCGTCGATTTCATGACATGGCACATGAAGAGAGAGGTATACGAAAATGCGGCGAGACTTGCTGGCTTTAAAGGACGGTTGGAATGGAAACGCGAATTTTTGCTCAACCATGATTGGAAACAACGGTTTGACCTGACTAGTGATGAGTGGCGAATTAGAGGGGCAAATCCTCACTTTGGAATACTTGTTGCTTGGAAATGATAGCATCAATTACCGTCAGTACACAGCAGTCATGACTTGTAACTGTCTTGAGAGAAATGTAGTGGTTGAGGAGGAATGCCTTCAAGCCCTGTATGCCATGGGTTGACCCGGTCGCCTCCTTCCTTAGTACCAGGGCCTTGTGAACTAAAGTAGCCTCTTGGCACAGATGTTTAGCTATTAGACCACTGTCGAGGTCAGAATGATATCGGGGGGCAAGTCATTTTTATTTGAGTGGTTACTTCTGGGTATGCACGATTGCTGGTGACCTTGCTGGTGGCAAAGATGGATTCACGTCCCCAGGTATATGCAACCCTAACCCCAAGGCCAAGTTAATGCCCGCTATTTTCTTACCCGCCTCATGCCATCATTGATGTTCCTCCTCTACAATCTTTCCTCTCCCTACAAACCAATTAACATCTCCTCCCCAGAACCTCTGCAGTATGGTCAACTTTGGCACCTTTACTTCTCTCACGCAATTGACCCAAGTCGCCTTGCTAGGAGGCCATGCGCAGGCCAATAGTTCCCAGCTTAGGGACATTGTTCCCAAACGCGAGGTCCTCTATGTTGGCGGACGGTACACAAATGTGACGGCAAGTCTGGAATCCACCCTTGATTTTACGCGCCTCTAAGACTGGAGAAACAGGACAATGCAACCAAATCTACATCAATGGCCATGACGGGACAAATCTACGTCGAGAAGCTTTCCCCCAACTCGGCCCCGGCGAACCCACCACTTCCCATCATCTTCATCGCCGGCGCGGCCCAGACCGGCGCCAACTTCCTTGATACGCCAGACGGACGGCCAGGATGGGCATCCTATTTCATATCCAAAGGTCACACCGTCTACCTCTCGGACCAGCCTGCACGCGGCCGCTCCTTTTGGTTTCCCGGACAGGGAAGCGTCGGGTACATCGGCTCCCCCAATTCTGTCTCTGACATCTTCACCGACACAGCACACAACGGCAACCAGTGGCCGCAGGCAAAACTTCACACGCAGTGGCCCGGCGCCGGTCGCGTCGGCGACTCAACTTTCGACGCTTTCTACAGGAGCCAGGTGCAGTTCCAAACGGACCGCTTCATAAGCGAAGAGGAGAATGCCCAGGCATATTCGGCCCTAGTAGACCTCGTAGGCGACTGTTATATCATCAGTCACTCGCAGGCGGGGGCATACGGTATTGTCTTTTGGTCAAAAACACCCATGACCCGCTCAAATGGTTGACGATTGAAGCAGGCTGGAGGGTGGGAGACATGCGCTCAAGCCTTGTCAAGGGCATTGTTCAGCTCGAGCCGTCTGGTCCGCCGTTCACCCTCCGACCGCCGTTTGGCAACGACCCGGCTTTCGCCTTCGGCCTCACCGACCTCGCCATCGGATACGAGCCGTCCGCGGGCGAGAATGCCGAGAACATGGAGACGATTGTCGAGCCAGCAATCGACGACCATCACAACGAGTGCATCATGCAAAAGTCTCCGGCGAAACAGCTGACAAACCTCGGCAAAATCCCGCAACTCGTTGTTACCGGCGAAGCGTCGTTTCACGCGCCGTACGATTACTGCACCGTCAAGTATCTGGGGCAAGTTGGCGTGGACGTGGAGCATGCGGATCTAGGCAAGGAGGGCATTCACGGCAACGGACACATGTTCTTCATGGAGAAGAACAACCTGGAGATTGCCGACAGGGTGCACCAGTGGCTGCAAAAGCACTAATCAACGCATAATGGAGGGTCAATAGCCTTATTAAACAATTGCGTGGTTTGATGTTGGCTACTGTAGAGAGGCAGGAAGATGACCGATCTTAATTGCTTACAATGTGGGTACTCCGGTATGCAACTTCCTTGACTTGGATCCAAAGGCACATGAGACGCAATGTATATACGGCATTGAGACCTAATTCATCAAGTGCGCTAATCCTGGTAGGTGTGGAGCTAGGTGTATGAACCTTGGAATAATATAACTGGCCTCTTCAAAACTTGCATCCAAGTCTGGATCATCGGGTAGCTCTGGATCGTGACCAAACCAGTAGTCACAACGACATCTTTTTCGAAACTGCAGTAGGCAGTGTTTGGTGAAAACGGCCCGGATCCTCGATGCTCTAGTAGCCTGTCACAGAAGCCTTGCAACCAACTTTATTAAACCCCCGTAGCTCGTCACTTGGTTTTAGGAGAAGTGCCTGTTCAGAGCACCCAGCGGAGTTGATGCAGGTCATGATCGGTTGTGGGGAAAGTTGACTGTGCCATTGCGAGGTTGTCAATCGCACATGGACAAATTGCGTCGTGCTGCTGATCGTAAGCTGTCGATATAATGACTTAGCTATGATGTCTTGGAACGGCTCCGAATTTGCAGCAAGCACAAAATATAATGAGAGTGTTGGGGATTCGTTCTTACGTACGCCATTGGCCATCCTGTGGCTGCTTGTCTCGCTTCATGCGCCCAAACGTACAAATGGTTTCTATGAAATTCGGTTCGTTGCAGTGTAGTTCATCAGGCCTTATCATCGGGATGCCCAACATCTTTCCGGAAAGAATCCAGCCCGGGAGATGACTGATGAGGAGCTCTCCTGTATGTGTGGGCTGGCAAGATTTCGCCCCTAGGCGACGGACTACGTGCCACAAGAGTCCGGCGCCTAGCCATCGCTCAAAAATGAACAACCTCCCGAGAAACAAAGTGTTTCCTGATGTCAAGGCTGCCTTATGAGGACTATGACTGGGAATCCGTCTTTGGGGCCTGCAGCGAGAATGTTGTCGGGTACATATCGCTCTCCGTTGGCGTGGTGAGACCTCGATGGGTTGATGGATATATCCATGGATATCATCGAAGGCGCCTTGGCAGCTAACATGAACACGGGCTACAAAGCTATCAACTTGGGAGACGGAGTAAAAACGGTCCTAACTAGTGATGGTATTACTTGCGGCCAATGGCGGTTTTAGACGGTGCAACATGCAGGAGACGCAAAGCACTGGCTAGACTCGGATAACGGGCAGGAGACGATGGAAATACATTCAGATCAAATACCAGGCATATCTGCCTGCTAGACAATTATCAGTAGGCCTGCGCTTTTGCTTCTTTTACCGCAACACAATTACGTGGCGCAAGGCACGGCGGAGAAGTCATCGACCAACCTCTCCGTCTTGGTCTCAGAAACTGTTCAAACACACTCGACGACGTCAAGCATGCGACAAAAAGTATTCATCTCCTGCTCCTTCGAAAACTGCCACAAATCATTATAAATTCTGCCGTCCACGCGTCGTATACATGTGAAGCTTCGCGGGCTCATTTCGACAAACACATGTCTTTGGATTGTCCAAAGCCAAAGAAGCGGGAAAGACGGCTCCAAGCTCACCTACCCCGCGCCTCTCTAAGCAACTCATAGTCAAAGGAGGAACGGAGCTCGTCTTTCACTTTCACTGGCTTCTGATGTTGTCGTGAAGCCGATGAAGGAGCTTTCCCTGTTTGCATCCGGCTCCGGCTAGTCTAGGTTCTTTTACTGATGGGAGGGTAAGTAAGAAGGCGAAAAAAGATAGATACCAAGGGGTTGCTCACGGTGAGCTGTAGGAATAGCTTCGCGGAGCATATCTCCATCTTCGTCGGGGAGCAACTCAGCAATGTCAATAATATATGACACTAACCAAGCGCCAGTTGCTGCGCTCATAACACTTAGCACGGCAGTCAACATTATTGCCTGATGTTAGAAAGTTTTGCGTAGCCACGGAATGGCATACTAATAGTGTCGTGATAAACTTGGAGATGACAAGTGTGGTTTTCAAAGGGACAGTCTGGCGCGGAGCTCGAATATAACTGCTCGGGTGGAGGTCAAGCTCACAACCTTGAAGACACCAGGTGAGCTCTCCTAGTGCTCTGCAGCTCTATTGTTCTTCCCATTGATGTCAATTACGCCACTTCGATGGCTGCATCAATCGGGCTCACGGACCATGTACTTTGTAGACATTTCTCCACCTCCACGGCTGACCGGCTACTCAAATGTGGATAGCATATTTAGAATCCATTACTTGTATTATATTTTTTCTATTGGGAAAAACGCTGCCCGTAACAGAAATGAGAGAGACGTCGAGTGAACCAGCTATGCAAAGTCAGTCTGACGGTAGCACGCGAGAACAAAGTAGAAAAAGGCTAGAGCTAGGCACTTCCTAATTAGGCTAGACGTGGCTAGAAGAGTTGGTGGCTTGGCAATAGATTGTGATTTCTGACAACACCCAGGCAGGGGTGGGCGGAAAAAGAGTGTCAGATTGATAGCATTCCAACTATGGTTAGCGTGAGCCAAATAGACGACATGTGGAATGGCCAATGCATATGTGTCGGATGAAGCAGCGAGAAGAGACAAATTAACCTCGTGAAAACTGTATTATTCTGCCGTACTATGAGAAAAAGACGGAGGCATGTAGTAATATATAAAGTCTAGGAGTAATTTCAGTAAGAGATGAGTACGCGAGACTCTACAAGTTTAGTAGTATAAGTGACGAATAATGTTAGCGCGACTTCTAGCATGGTAATAAGCACAAAAAGAGGCTTTTCTAACTAGTAAGAATTTTGAACGGCATAGGATTACTTAGAGAACTAGCGAATAATAGCATTCTATTCAAATATAACATATAGTAACTCACATCTTCTACGCCGCGTTGACAGACTTTGAGGCTAGCAGCTGAGGTTAACTAGTGTCTGTTTGTTCCCCACTAACCGGGATTGGGTGTGTGGATGTATATAACACATATATTCATTGCCTGCCTTGGTTGTGAATAACGAATTTGAAAGCGTAAGAGTCGTAAAAGGAACTAAATGTGTTCTTTAATGTCGGCTGGTCTGTTTTGCTTTCACAAACTAACCACATAGCTAAAACCGCTAAACCTCCCTTCTGACAGATATGCGTCCCCCGATATTTCTGTAACTTGAACGGTTTTTGGAAATGTTCGCTCAAATGCGTGATAATGAATCCATTAACTAAAACAATGGTCTTGGCTAAAGGCAGCTTGAAGTTTGATTCTAGCTATAGTCATGATCAAATAGGCAGAATACTTACATCCTCGGGTATATACCTTCCTGTGATGGTTCTCACTCCCTTTGGTATTGTCCGCGGGAACCCTATTGGGGCAGCCGGGTAGATCCTCAACGATTCCTGTATGCACGTAGTCAAATACTTTAGACTCTCTACTCTGGACAAACAAATCTCATCCTCAGAGTTGAACGCAGATCGAATCTCACCCGTGACTCTAGACAGACATGTCGGGCTGCTAACCATATAATAGGCGAATGATGATAGAGCCAGTGACGTAGTTTCCGCCCCGGCAACAATCAGGCCGTTTACGGCAGCAAGCACGTAGTCAAAAGTCAGTTCCTATATAACTGTCAGGTCGTGCAACAGCGAAGGACTTGATGCGCTGTGAGGGGGCCCGTAAAACATCAATTGATAGTATGATGAGCGGCGGGTTGGGGTCTACCGCCCTTTCTTTCGCCTTGACAACGGGCTCAATTAGATCGTCCCTTCCATTGGCACTGTCCATCCGCTTTGCTCGCATGATCTTTTTTTGCTCCAGAACTTTCAAGGTTTTCTTGCTGAACAAATATCTCAGTGCTCCCGCCAAGAGTCTCAGACCTAGATACCACAACACAACAACTTGGGCCCCCTACCCGCAAGCCTTGAACATGAACCCGACGTATGATCCTGTGCGCAGGCTTCCAAGCAGGAAAAGCTCTCTCCAAGGGCCAAATCACCCACAGTGTCGCGGATAGTTCAGTTGAACCACGCGGCCAAGTCGAATACATTGCTTCTGTGAATGCATTTTTCATTCACAAGTCCGACTGACGTTGACCTGCCAACGTCCTGTTCAAAGTGTCTTCAAATATATTCAATTATCAAATTACGTGCCTCATAACCAGCCTCCCATGTCTTTTAAGTCTACGGACAGGAAATCCGTCAGCCAGGAAGCCCCTCAAAACTTTATGCGTTTCCTTCTCTAGATTTGAAAGATCTTCTGAAACAAGTCAGTTGAAGCTAAGGGCTTGATAGAATTGAAGATATTTGGGGTTTGTTTCCTCCAATCGACCCTCCATATATGTCTTTTCATGCCCCTGGTTCTGAAAAGGAAAGCTGTGAAGTGGAAATGCGGACAACTGGGCCATATTTTTCATCAAGTTTGAGGACCGTGAAACAGAGTTTTCCCCGAATTGATTGATATGCCCATGGTAATATCGACGTCCGGTAGTGTATTGGACCAGGGAAGCGTGAGAGAGGATGGGGTAAACATTGTACAAAATACTGGCGATGCATAGACGAGTGCTTTTAATTTCTTGTTAGTTGCAATAGCGAGATCTGATTGAGTAATGTAACTAACCAGAAGAATAAAGACAGATGACAATGCCCTGCGTGCTATCTCTGAGATGATACTTATTCTGCAAGACATCTTGTCAAGAGAGATGCAGATACTTGATGGAAGTATTAGCTGATAATATGTGCAAAGCACTTCACTTTCTAGGTGATGGAGATAACCTCCAGTCCCGAGGTTTGAGAGATATAGTATCACTGATCGTGACACTGGTTCAACGTGTGAAGGCTTGGAACTGTTTTCATAATCTAATAATCTACTTTGACATCGAAGATTCTCGGTTTTTCTCAACGCTCAGGCCTCTAGCCTAATAGCTGCCTTACGCCTGTAACCTAGTCTCGTGATGGTTCGATGTCGTGTAACCGTTGTTGGCCCAACAGCCTTTGTTGGGTTCAACCGTGTGACACTATGTACGAAACTTGTAATGAACGGAGTACTTCGAGTTCTTCTTTCTATGGTCCGTGTCTTGAATATTAAACCAGACCCTCATTATGCCTAGTTGTAAGCAATACTTCAAAATTATCCGGACAGATCTTGGCAAAAGTTCCAAGGTTGCCCCCAGTCAAACTCACACCACAGTTCTCAACTACATCCTCGAGTATTGTTTACAGCAAAATTTGTTTTCTGCCCTTAGCAATAGCGTAAGGAGATTCCAGGAAGTTGCGAAACGAGGTGAGAGCGGATGCACTCAAATCGGATCTTGACCGCATACTCGCCTATATTAACCACAACATACAACACCACGGACTGACGGACTGCTCCACATACTACCAGGCGTTGTATAAAAAAACTCTGCGAAGCGGTATCCAAGCCCTCACTGGAGTCGTCTCCATCCAAAGAAGCCTGGCCTGGGATGATGCAATGAGATACGCGGTAGAGGTTATTCGGGACCCCCAAGATACACAGAGGAGAGCAGCCGCGCCGTGGAAGCGATCCTGCTCAAAGCTGTTGGCATAACGAACTTATGAAGCGGTTCCAACCAAGTACCCTCGAGGCAGCGCGTTCCGGAACAGAATGGGTCATTGCAAATCACTATCATGGCAATAGGGGTGAATTGCACACGTGGACAAGAAGGCTAGCTTCCTCCGTCACTGTCACAGCGATGGCGTCGGGGCCGCCTTCTACCCGAAGGATAGCCCTCTTGCAGCTGGATTCTATCAAAGCGGAACTCTCCCTTGCTCACTTGTACTTTTAGCATGGGTACCTATCGACCAGGCCGTCCAGTTCGCGCAGTTTTCTCATGTTGCAGTCTGTGGGCATTATGTTGCGTTCACAACGGCGGACTACAACGTTCGACTACGAATGATTGCGCTTGCTGCTGGGGTGCTTCTTATCGGCAACTAGTCAATAAAAAAAACAAAGTCTAGATTGTTTGGTTGATGGATTGAATGACCGGCGAGAAGTCAAAACTGTCACACGGTAGGCCACAATAAAGTTGGGCCAACAACGGTCACACAACAACCAAGAAGGTATCACGCCGAGGTCGGACTTTAAACGAAAGCTGCCTAAGGCCTCTAACACACCCCAATTTTTTATATTTAAAGAGACCCCCGTCCCTTAAAGCCTCTGAACAAACTCAGGACTTTTAATACCTTGAGGTCGATTATTACAGATTAACCTAAACCTTTGTGTTTAGCTATGCATGAAAACTGCCCTGTCAACCGTCGCTCCACCGGTTTCCAGCAGCTCAAGACCCTACTGCGTTTACCCTGTTATGTAATTTGCCTCTTGTTCGTTCGAGACCAAGGTCCGGGGCGGCTCGTTGCGCTATTCATGCAGCCGCGAGCCCTGGGAACGATTGCGTCTATCGCGAAAAAGAACGCGCTTTAATCGAATAGCAATGTACCCCCTTATATTCCGTTGACAGCGTCCATCGGCTGCAGATACATAAGGAGGGGGTAAGTTATTGGTTTTTTGCAGCCGCTTTATTGAAGCCGAAACACGATAATCAAGCGTTCGTTCATCGACTTTTATCTGCTTTCCAGACAGCTGTCGTTCTGTACAATGTGGCCGTTATCCTCCATCTCCAATCAATTCAGCTCTACATTTCAGACGTTTAATCTTACTATAAACTGACTCTAAAGCTTTACAACTTTTCCTTCAAAACCATAGGTCTACATCAAAATGACGCAGTACGACTCTATTGGGTCTTCGTATCTTGTCGTAGGCGAACTTCTCTTTAAACAAATGGAGCTTGCCATGGTGAGGAGGGCCATCCGACCATTGCTGAAACCGGACGCCACTATCGTGGAGTTTGCTTGTGGCACAGGATTCTATACCCAGGAAATATTGTCGTGGACCACCTCGACGATAACATCAATGGACATTTCTCCAGTCATGCTGGACATTGCGTCCAAGAACATTTCGGCAGGCGGTAGAGGCCGCGTCCGTTTCGTGCTTGGGGACGGTACTGTATTAAGGTCCTATGCTCCCGACAAGTCAATCGGCTTCTTTGACTGTGCTTTCGGCGGCTGGTTTTTGAATTACGCGGAGAACAGAACCGAGTTGATAGCAATGTTTGCTACTATTGCGCATAATCTCAGCCACGATGGGGTATTTGTTGGAGTGGTGCCTCATCCCACTGAAGACTTGATTGCGCGGAGGAAAGCATATAGTCGCTCACCGCTAGACCGAATGTGGCCGCGTCTAGAATACATCAAAGAGATTGATGAAGGGTCAGGCTGGAGTTCCCGCATACACCTGGATGAGGATGTGAGCTTCGTGGCAACGCACATGAAGCAATCTACGTAAGAGGCCGCTGCTAGAGAAGGAGGGTTCCGAGGAAAGCTGGAATGGAGATCTGAAGGCATTCAAGAAGTTGGGTTCAAGGGAAAATGGATTGAACAATTTGACCTGACGGCCGAGGAATACAAAATTCGGGAGGCGAATCCGGTCATGGGACTATTGATAGTGTGGAAAAATTGAACTCTCGAAACTCTTGAGTACCTCGACTTGTATCAGACTTTTCACCAATCAGAGCTGGTTGCTACTATAGAGATAGCAAAACTGTCACAAATGGAGGTAACCCCCTATGCTGGTTGACGGGTCAGAGGTACTTCTTCTTAGTAGAGTATTATAGGCATCTAGAATGTTAGTGAGGTTTCGTACTAGATCGCTCGTAGATATATCAATCACTTGTGCAAATTGACAAGGGTCTGTTGAAAGTCCACGGAAATCATTTCGTGCAAAAATTGACATTCTGTAGCTTCTAGTGGTAACATTTCATATTGTCAAATCCTTTCGCTCAATTTAAAAACATGAGGTCTGACAAGATACCCGAGTGATCATGCGGTTTAGGACTTTAGTCACTGCCAGAGCATTGACTGTAGTGTAGTTTTGTAGTTTTGTAGTTTTTGTAGTTTCGAATATAAAAAATTATATTAAATCTAATAAAATACTTATAGAATTATAAGTTTTACGGATAACTAGTATAAATTTTATATTATAAGCTAATATAAAAAAAGCGGGTCCTTATATACTATTATAAGCTCAAAACTTTAAAACCTACATTTTATAGTTTTTATAGTATAGTATAGTATAGTGTGTTTTTAAAAAATTACATAATCTAGTTTTTAAGCTTATAATAGGCTAAAGGACCCACTTTTTAAATAAGCTAATTGGTTATAATATTAGCTATTTTATGTATTTATTATTATAATCCAAGTATTTTATTAGATTTATTATTAATTATTTAAGCTTTTTGAAAAAATGAAAATGTAGTTTTCTTGTCAATGCTCTGGGACTCACTGCACAGTGACCTGGGCCGTTCGATTCTGACCGAACCTTAGTAAGGTGCATTGTTCTGTAAGTGAAATATGTTGAAAAGAGATTCTCTTATACATTGGATGCCGCGCACAAGATCATATCAAAATGCCATTGAATCTATGACCCAGTGTCATCGTGTAGATGATGACACCGGCCTTGATACGGAGTACAAACTCCCCATTTGTGTATCATTCATCTTCTTCAGCCGGTTCATTGCCCAAAGATTGTGATAGCCATGACAAGGATAAACAGAATTCCGAATTCCTATGTACCAATGACACAAATTATGTTAGCAACGGTTATAGCTGCCTTGCAAGCTACTTTGTGGCCCACGTCTTTATTGTTCTACAATATTGATTTCCGCAATCAAATTTCTCCTTGCCAACCAATGTACATTTAATTCTCGTTGCCAATACCCACGTACTCGGAGTGAATAGTGTCATAAGATGGCCACGTAGTTAGTATACTGTTTAGCTCGTCCAGCTTTAAGATTGATCATTCAGGAACCGCAATCGTGCCCTTGAAATGTGGAGGTTGATACTGCATCCGTTAAATTCTGAGAAAATTCGAATAGTCGTTGCTGGTTCACAGTGGGCCAGGATTCTCCATTTTCGAAGGCTTTGACCATTCCATCCATGTAAGCTGCCTGGATGGAGAAACTGTAAAGCATGGTATTGGTCTGCTTAGGTGTCACGTTGGCTACGAGGGGCGCAGACCAACAAGTTATGTGCCGTCATAGCCGGCATATGACTCGTCATGCTTCTGAGATTGTGATGAGATTGGCCAAGATACAGCGCTGACACAACGGCCAGCGGGGTCCAAGGTGGTGAGTCACATAATGGATCTTGCATGCCGTTGTCCTTCGTCCTGATTTCGGAGCGCAACATGGTGAGCTTTGCTAGGCATGTGTTTACAAGCTGCCCGAAGCCAGCCGACAGCCGCCGCCGGATCCGGCTTGTGAATCAAACTCGTCCCAGAAACCGTTAATGGAGCCTCGTTTCTCGGTAATTGAACTATGCAGTCATCCGTGTCCTTGCTCAATATCTGTTGCACAGTGGAGGGTGTGTCGGAGCAAGTGTGGTAAACCAACAACGCGACAGTCAAGCCAACGATCTTCCCAAGCTGTTAGGTCTGTCCAGTAGGACTTTCGCAGCCCTTAATTACCCATCCATTCATGATCTACTGCAGCAGAAATTGGGCTACATAGTTGGTACTTGTCATACATAGTCTCAGAGACAACCCGAGGTAATTGTTCTGACTAGTTGAATGTTCACCAATCAACGCTTCATTCTGTATAGTTGAATTGTCCCCAGTGTTAGTGCTAGAACAGACAATCGTGTCTTCCCGCCATAATATGCCCCCATGTGGAACAGTGTTATTTTCAAGAATCATCTGTGGAAGCGCCATTGCCTTACGATAGCATTCTCGGGCGGAATCTCTGGCATTTAAAGATAAATGCAGCATGCTACTAATCAGTAGTTGTTTAAGAGCATTGGGTTTCTTGCGGTATTCCTCATAAAGACACTGGATAATCCATTCACACCAAGTCAGCCGGCGTTTTAGGGAAGCAATTGCAACCACTGCCCGAGGGGGTTGGTCCCAGTATTGCTGATATCTCGGGAAGCCCAACAGAAGCTCATACACTACTATCCCAAGAGACCGGATATCAACAGCTGGCGAGTACCTTGTCGGTTGAACCTTCTTGACGTATGGTTCCCAGATTTCCGGTGGTGCATAAGGTTCCGTGCCGCAAATCGTTCTTAAAAGTTCGCCACGTCCGTGCATCCCAAAATCCACTAAGGCTGAAAGGATTTGGCGGAGAACAGACACGCTCTCGGTAACAGTAATCTTCTCGCATTTATCGAGAGAACCGCCCGGGATATATTCGAGGCATAATTGAGGATAAGGATCTAAATCAGCCCAAAAAACTTTAATAATATTATCCTATCATGTTTCAGGTTAACGTAGAAAGAGGAACCTAAAGGACAGAACAAACATGTGATAATTTACTCAGTGTGTCCGCCTCCTCCAGCCATTTATCGCTGTCAATTACTGCTTTTTGTGACGGCTGTTTTAGGGCATGCTCTTCTCCGTTACTGACATTCTAATAATAAGTCAAGACACTAAAGTTTCCTCTTCCAAGCTCTCGTTTCAGGCAGACTGGACTGGCGTGTGGCGTATGTGCTCCGGTGGGCATTTCTGTATCAGGCCGAAGTGGAAGATTTAGATCGCTAAAGAGATTTTCCGTGATAGCAGCGCCCTGGCGGTATATGCTAACTTTCTCCATGTATAACGTTGATTTTAAATTATGCTAAGCAACGATAATTTGGAACTGGATATCTTTATGTATCTTGACAATGATTTTCTCCTTTTAATGGGCGTTCTTATCCCCGCTAATAATCCAGTGAAATCCCCGGCGCCTACCAGCCCCTTCGCCGTTATAGGTAACTTTGGTTCCAAGAAGGGAGCCTAAATCTTTCACTATAAAGCGTTACTAGTTATCGAACGTTAAACTGAATTAAACCCCGCTAAGACCCTTGAAATTAGGCAGAACGACATCACACTGCTACATCCAAATTGAACTCCACGCGAGGATCGCGGGCCTCGCTAAACTGAATCTCGATAAAAGGCTTGCCATCGAATTCGGATGGTTTTCTGTCACCGGGCTCATCCGGTGGCTCGGTTCTCTCATGGTCATCACGCCCATATTGGATTTTTTCCTCAGGCTCTTCATAGAGAGGTGACACGTAATAAGAACTGTCTATGATTGCCTTGGCAGCATGCCGCGCAAGATGATCATGGGAAGAGGGGTACACACGAGCAATGAGATCCGTGTTAGCCATTTTTGTTTTTAGGTCGGATAAGGATATTGATGCGACATCTGGAAGGATAGGCAGTAGACTTTTATGGTCGGAGAGGGAAACGAGCGTGACTTCCACCATCACCCTTCCATGTCTCTATACTCCTGTCCAATCGTGCCCGCCATCCTGCACCTTTCTGAGACTGAGGGGCGGCTGCATGGCTGTCATCATTGGCCGTGAGCTGCATATTGGTCGTGTACGCGCCCACCTTCGAGCATGAGAATGCAGTGACCAGTTGACGCTTTACGGAGTACGGAGTACTGCATTATGCACGGACACGACTGGCCCCACCAGACACTCCGGATTGCAGGCATTGGTGCCTTAGGCTGCTGTGCAAAGCGACAAATTCGAAGCCATCGAAAATATCTCAGTTCTCGTTCCTACAACTGCAACCACGCTGGCCATGTCTGCATTATGCACGACAACATGTCTCGCTCACGATTTACGACCACTGACGATATATCCTCTCTGAGCGACGCACAGCTGAGAGAGTTTATGGAGAAACACCGCCGATCGGATGGCGTATTTGAGCTTGACGTGGCCAATGACTGGAATAAATTGTCAGAAGGGGACCGAAATCGCCTTGCTGAGAGACTACAGTATGTTCCCCTATCATCCCATTCTCTTCGCTCACTCACGTCTGCTTAGATGCATATCGGCAGCCTCGCGATCGCTTGACCTTGACAACCTCGATGCGCTTTTGCGTGGTGTCTGCATCAAAGATAATTCCGTATCAGGAGACCGACCGCAGGAAAGCAAAAGGCGGACCGAATCGCCAGACGAAACCGATCAGGAGATATATCAGCGAGAAGAGATAGAAGCGTACAATAATCTTGTTCATGACGGCGGTCGTGCACTGTACCGAATTGACCTTATAGACTCGGTTTCAAAGGACCCCGATGTGTATCGCGACATGTTGGCCCCTTTCTGGAGACAACCTCGATATGATAAACCATCAGAGCTGGACCATTCCGACGCACGAGCAGTATTTCGAAGACAATGGCATAGATGGCAAAATTTCCGAAAATGGCAGCTTGATAATAGAAAGATTGAAGATGATGATGATGGTTTCCTGGCATTTGTGGAGAAGGCGAAACGAGATTGCCAAGAGGTAGGGGATTTAAAAGGAGTAGCTGAGATTGAGGCCGATCCGACAATCTTAAAGCAGCGCGGTGAACCATGGTATTATATTCAAAGACACCGTAACTGGCAGCGACGGTACCAGCGGGAGCTGGGATGCGAGACCATATCAGATTACGAAAAAGCGGTGAAAGCGCGTTTAGCCCGACATGGCTTCAACCTACCGTTTCATTTAATAGAAGACCCTAAGCAGCAGGATAAATTAACGGAGTGGATCGAATATCTTGGCTTTGAGTACTGGTGGCTTGACCGTTATACCGTATCTATGGAGCGCCTAAAGCCAAAACACGACGAAGCTTGGGATGAATTAAAAAAATTAAGAATGGTGAGGGATGACGAGACTCCGGAATTTATTCGCACTGATGCATCGGGTACGAGGTGTCAAAGGGAAGAAGACCACGCGCAGAAAACTCTGCAAGATGCAGAATCGGAAGCAAAAATGGTTTACCAGAAAACGCAAAAGGATCCTAATCGCCTTAACATTTCAGAGCAATTACGTGTAGAAATGTTACGTAAGGCTAGGAAACGACTACTGGCAGCCCGAGAATCGCTTGAATTTACTGAGCGGCGGAGCGACAGTCTTATTGACTTTGTTCGTAGCACCTTTGGCTACGCTAATGCGAAGGAAGACGTAGCCAACCAGGCCAATCTTGTGAATTGGGTTATGGAGGAGGTACACGCAATTGAGGCCGAACAGAAATCTCTAACTCTGCAGAGCAGCTCCCAGAAGAAGAGAAAAGCATCCGTGGAAGATGTCTGCTCAGGGCAGTTGGACCCCAAGAGACAGAAATGCAGCTCTCGAAAGCATAGCTGGCAACCGAGCAAAGATAAGATCGGCACGGGAGACGGAAGAGTTTTACGGAGGCGAAACCGACCATCAACAGACATAAATCGACAATTCAATCAGCATCAAAGCCGCAACATACACGATACATATCCCAGCCAAACAAAGCTTGTTAGACCAGCGGTGGAGCAGGTGCCGTTTGACAAAGCAGAGCCCGAATCCCTATAGGGCGGTTCACGAAAGAGGAGAAAGGTCGCATTCCAAGATGTCTCCCTAATGCAGTCAAGCTCTCAGAGACTAAAGCCAAATGGTCAAGGTCATGACTCGCAATCCAGCAACAATAGAGTTGGCGCAACTGACAGAAGAGCGGGCACGAGTCAACAACTAGATCAACATCAAACTCGAAACGAACAAGTCACGAACTCCGGTGGCCACTTATTCAAGTCAAACGTGCCCTCTTGGGGATTAATCCAAGGGCTACGTCGCAGCTCTCGGCTTAAAGCCTTACGGCCCAAGTCAGAAATTCGCGAGAGAAGTAGCGAATCCCGTCTCCCTAGTGGCTTGGGAAGCGAATATTTACCAGTGGAAGAATTATTAGGGAAGCGCATGCGCATGCGAGGACTTGGTCGTATTACGGAGTACTTGGTGAAGTTCAAAGTCTATGATGGCAACTGCGATATGTGGACGGCTGCCCAAAATCTCCCCAAAAACGTCATGGATGGCTTTGATCAGTCATACGGTGGGTGACTTCAATCCTAGAGGCTAGAACGGTAATTATGAACTTTGACTGAGAATAATGATGACATGACTCTATATAACAAAGGCCATGCGGAGCATGGCGCCATAGATCACAAAATTCTGCGACACCTTGAACTAAATACGCGGTCACCTCAGCCGCGGCGCCATGTGCTCAATTCGTCAGAATCAAAACGAAACCGTAGGCCGTAAAAGGAGATGAAAAGGAAAAGCCCCTACTGGCGGGAGTCTCCCACCGATAGAGTTTCCAAATTCTCTATTACTTTCGGAGCATTGCTGCCCAGTCGCGCTGGAAGGACAACTTCTAATGCCTTTGGCCGCCTATTGGCACAACTGTCTCTCTGGACCCGTTGCTTCCTCTCCTTCAACCGTCAACCGTACAGCGGCTGCAAAGATAGCCATGACCAAAAGCGCTCCCGTTATTATGAATGGAAGACCCATTGCACAGGTACTGCGCGCAGGCGCATTTGTGCCACACCGATGGCCGTGGCAAGAAAGCTCGCCTGGTTTGTAGTCGCACCTTAGGAATGTAGAGGTGGAGTAATAGTCCGTGAATTGGATGCGTCGGTAATGCGGTTCTTATTCTCTGGAGTGGGCGGTTTATTATTACAAACTATCATGGATTCATGGTAATCCAAGTCATTGGAGGAATCGTTGGCACCATGTCTACAGTCACAAGCGTTTAGTATTCTTTCGACGACGTTTTGTGTTGTCGTCCATCGCAAGCTCGCAAGCATAGCTTGCATGGGCAGCATTTACATGGAAAGCATTTGCACATTGACACGGATAGAGCTGGCTATTTGCTACCTTTTCCACCACTCTCGAGCCACCGGTCAACCTGAAAACTGTGACAATCTCATTCTGGTACTCCGCAGCTATTGTTACATCTCTAACGTGCCACCTACTCGTCTAACCCAGGGTTACTCCATCTGCACTGGAGTATGGCAGGGGAGGGAAACCCTGTCATCTTGCTAATTTCTCGAACAAGAGGAGTAAGGATAGAGGATTGTATAACTAGGAAACAAAGAGAAAAAATAAAGGGGGAGAGGGAGGGGGGAAAAGGAGAAACTAATGATGATAATCAATAGATATTTTAATACATATTCTATGTAGAACGTACACTAAGCGCCATGTGTTGAATAGTACCTCAACTTTTCCTGACACCTCTAAATAATAGCTTAAACCGACCGTGACGTCCGTGTGATGCCAGTTACGGCCGAGGAATTATCGTAATGTTGTATTTTCAACCACATAGTCTGCGGGTCTGGGCCCGTAGTCCAAGCGTTACAGATGTCCAAGCGCAATGTTATGTCTCATTAGGTCTGGTGTCTGAAAACCACGCAGGACGCGCTCAACACTCGTCGTTCTGATACCACTTAGGGGTACATGAGTATATAAGTGTTATACGAACATGTACCAGCTTTGCCATCCAGCTCCCAGTGGGATATAACTATTACAAGCTGTTATGCAGCTCAGCTCAGCACCATGCACTTGACAAGCCTTTACCTGTATTGTTGCCTTGCTCTTTGCTTGACATGTCAAGCTCAGCTCAGTCACTTGCTTCCACGGCAATTGGCTCCATATGTGAGTGCAGTCGCCTCTTTGATAGGCGGCAATGGATTTCTTGAGGCATCGTTCGGCGTTATACAAGGACTTCTCGGCCGTGACCAAGAGTTCGATTTCGTGGTCGTAGGAGGCGGCACTGCCGGAAACGCCATGGGATATCGCCTGGCAGAAGCGGGCTTCAAAACCGCAATCATTGAAGCCGGAACCTTTTTCGAGTTGTCCAAGCCCGGTTTTGCCACTATCCCAGGCCTTGATGTTCTTTTCGTCGGTTCGGACAGTTTCGAGGCTCTGTCCGCAGCGGACTGGAAGTTCGAGACGACACCTCAGCAAGGCGCAGGTGACCGCAAGTTTCATGTCGCGCAAGGGAAATGCGTCGGTGGCTCATCCGCTTGGAACTTCATGATCCACCATAGAGGCCCCAAGGGCGCGTATGACCAATGGGCCGAGGCCGTCGGAGACGATAGTTACAAGTAAGCCAATACTCATTCTACAATGCGGTTATCGAACAATTATTGACGTGTAACTTTAGGCTCGGCAGCTTCGAAGAATTTTACAAGAGATCCGTGACATTCACCCCGGGGAACACCTCGAAACGTCCAGCCGACACCGTATCTCCGTCTGACGCAGCTGATTTTGCTGCTCCGGGTCAAGGCGGTCCCGTTCAAGTCAGCTACACAAACTTCGTCTCAGACTGGTCGAAGTGGCTGCAAAAAGGCCTGCAAGCTGTCGGGCTAAAAAGGACGGATGGATTTGATCGTGGTGATTTGTTGGGCTATCACTACACCGTAACGACCATTCGGCAGTCCGACGCAACCCGAAGTTCGTCTGCTGAATACATCTACGCTGCAGACAAGAAGAAAATGAGCAATCTTAAAGTATTTACCAATACTCAAGCATCGAAAATTAACTTTGATAGCAGCAAGAAGGCAACAAGTGTTAAAGTGCTCTCTGCAGTTGGATCCGAGTACACCATCAAGGCGAAGCGAGAGATTATTGTTAGCGCTGGGGCTTATAAATCGCCACAACTTCTGTTGCTTTCAGGAATAGGACCCGAGGACACGCTCAGCCAACATGGAATCCCAGTCGTTGCGTCTTCGCCCGGAGTTGGCCAGAACATGTGGGACCATATCTTCTTCGGACCGTCTCACGCCGTCAAGTTCAAGACTATCGATTCTATCTTGAAAAGCCTAACCGACTTGACCAGCGCTGTTGGAAAGTATTTTACAGGGCACGAAGGGATTCTTAGTTCAAACGGGATCGAGATGGTCGGGTGGGAAAAACTGCCTGCGCAACTCAGAAATGACCTCTCCGAGGACACCAAGCAGCAACTCGGTTGGTTCTCAGACGACTGGCCAGAGGTGGAATTTCTCGGCGGCAACGGATATATTGGAACATTTGGGTCGCTACTTGCACAGCCAGTCGACCAGAAGCAATACACTACGCTTCTGGGTGCCCTCGTCGCGCCGCTTTCGAGGGGCAACGTGACCATATCATCTACCTCTGTCCGTGACCAACCTGTCATCAACCCCAACTGGCTGACTGCCAAGGCCGACCAAGAAGTTGCGGTGGCGTTGATGAAGCGCCTGCGACAGGTGTGGGCAACCTCTGAGCTGCAGTCCATCTCGGATGGCCCCGAGTATTATCCAGGCGAGAAAGTCAAGACAGACGAGGAGATTCTAGACAGTGTGCGAAAGTCTCTGATGACGGTATGGCACCCGTCGTGCACATGCAAGATGGGCAAGAAGGAAGATCCCATGGCTGTGGTTGACAACTTGGCGCGAGTACATGGCGTTCAGGGTCTGCGCGTTGTGGATGCGAGTGCTTTTCCTATCTTGCCTCCAGGACACCCCATGGCAACCATTTATGCGTTGGCAGAAAAGATTGCCGAAGATATTATCCGCACCGCCAAGCAGGGGTAGCTGTGGTCAGGGGGTATCGGCATAAAGTGCCACGAAGATTCTTATTGTAACAGCGTGGAACATTTCCGCGATTTTTTTTTTTCGAAAGTTTTAGTAGATTTATATGTCTCCTTCTTTACTTTATATAGAAGAATTCGGCATATCTAGGCTTCAGAGCCGATAGGATTAGAGTTACATATCACTGCAATTTACCATTTCCAGACATAAGATTTGCTTCACATTGAGACCATGAACGATCGTCGTGTCAATGCCAAGTGGTCATTTCCCTCCAAGAAGAGATAGATCAGTCCGAAGGATTTTCATAATCCTCATTCTATTCAGGATACAATATATGCAATGCTGTTCATAAAACAGCGTTGTGAAATATTTATTCGTCTATAAATGAAATGTACTAATGAAACTTTTAATTGTCCTAGCTAAATACTAGTGTGAGCACTACATTAGGTAAGGCCCGGTGAAAATAATGTCATGTGCCTGGTCGAACCTGAGCTAGAGGGCCGTAATGTTTTATGTCATATAGATGGAATGTATGTACTCCTTTATTGTCAGTCAATCAAGTTGATTGTGTGCGATTGCTTCCGGCATTTCGTTGAGTAAGCCAGGGGTCGACATAAATACTAGAATAGTACAAACTAGTGATTACTGGCTCCAGTTCAAAGCTGAGTTTCCTAGCATCAGGGTATTATTGTAAAAGCTCCGATTGACCATCCAGCCCAGACCATTTCGGTTTCCCATCATCAATATCAACACAGCGTTGTGAGTAAAAGATGTGACACCTGAAGTTGGTCAGATGGATATGTAGTGTCGTGGCGTGAAGCTACTCACTGTACTTCAAAGTTTTCTTTCTGCGCAGCGTTCAATGACAGTAATGGTGGGAATACAAGGGCCATGTTCCTTCCTTCATCCATTATATGTGATCCGCACCACTTGCAACTGACCTTGCAAGGCAATTCGTGATGACCTTCTTTTGTCGCCGAATTATAGAACTTCAAGTGTTCGGCTCCCGTTTCAAAAGCTACATTGGACTTTTGAAATATGGCAGCCCATTGAAATGGGGCTCCTGATTTGACGACAATGGATTAGTTCAGTGCGACAGCGAGGAAAGGGCAGTGATGGACTAGTAGCAGCCTTACCATGAATAAGTTGACAGCCTTCGCAATGGCAAAATTTGGATGCCAATGGCTTGTCAGTGCTTATCCAATACAACACTTTCCGGCAATGACAAGAGCCTTGAATCTCTCGCCGGAAGTGGCTTTGAGTATCTAGTTGTTGATACGGCGGCTTCAGCCGCCAGTCTTCCGAAGACATTGTAAGTCGCTGATTTGGACGCCAGATCAACGCTTCGCCGGCTTCCTGGATAGACACATGTGATATAGAATATGGAAACAGATGGCTTTGAACTTCGACTAGGTTTTAAATCAAGTCAGCATATGTAGTCTCTGGAAGTGGTCCCACAACAACCGTCAACCATAATTACGTTACGCTTGCGTCACGTCCCGACCTGATCAAATAGAAGGGCGACTCAGAATCACCACACGGCAAGTTATGACGTCATATTCGATGCGGCACATCACCGCCTTTCAGTTTCAGTATTGACATGAGAATTACAAATTACACCAGCCTGCTTGGATAAAACATATCCCACTTCTGTTCGACAGACACATTCGTTGTTGTTCGAGATATGCGCCTTGCTGCTGTCTTATACTATAATCTAAGGCCTGGGAAAAGGGATTGCCATTGAGTTTGCAGAGACTTGGCTTCATGGATCGGTCTTCTGGCTTTGCTCATTCACCGGATGGTGTTATAGGTCTGCCAGCTGCACTATTAAAAGTGGAGAATTCCCCTTGGTAGTGCGTGCTTGCTATCTGGTAACTATAATATTAAGATACTCGTATATAGTAAGAAGACTTTAAAATTAATAGATTAATAGTATAAAAGTAGTATAACCTTAATAATTATAAAAAGGGCTTATTTTTCGTACCCAAATAGCCCTGATTTTAAGGATAATTCTACTCTTTAATCACTTCTATAGCTATCTAACGTAATAGTTTCTCTAAGACTTCTCAGAGAGTTATAGCATTTCCCCAAGTCCCAAAGGATCTTGTTCTCGATATAGTGAAAGAGCCAATTGTAAGCAGCATAAGAGAACAGCAGATACCGCTCTTTGTTGCAAGACTTGTTCTGAATTTCTGTAGAGATACCTAGCAGGCACAAATACTAGAGGCAGGTCAATGACAGCGTGCGTGACTGCTGTATGTTGAAACGGCCTTTCCAGGTCTTGTCGGGGTCAGGATCTCATATAAGAAATTCCCCAGCCGTCTGGTGAATAAAAGACAGCTTCGGCTCGTAGACGTTGACAAGAAGGCCACACAGATTCTTCACCACGGTCTCGAAAGTCTCCCGGTGCCATTTCTTTTTCTCCAATTCCACATATGAATTGTACTGCTGGCCCTCTGTCGCCAACGTCAAAGAATCCTTAGCTTCGTCCAGAGTTGGAGGCCATGACTTCTGCGGCAAAAACAGTCGAGCGGCTTCATGAGGCTCTGCGCAATCTGACAAAAGGCGAGGCCATCGTTTTGATCAATACACTCAAGATGATTCAGTATTTGAAAAGGCATCTAGCAACCCAGGAGGACTATTGACATCTTCTCATGAGTAAAGCCGGATGTGCATTGCTGCTAGCCTTGGGATATAACGAAAACCAAGAGGGGGCGCTAGAACCCTTGAATAACAAGCTATTGTCTGCCAAGATGCCTCTAGGTATCAAGAAGATGCGTAATAAAGCCTAGATTCTTCGATCCCCAAGACTTGCTTGATGTGCGATACGCTCGTTGAGACTGGGGATGGGACGCAACTAGAAATGCCTTGCCGAAGAGTGCTACGATACTGAAACACAGCCCCGAAAAGGATATATTAACTGGACATAATTTTAGTAACACCAAGTGCGGAGCGGTCATATATTATGCCCACGAATTGGTGATGAAAATGTTGAAGTCGCCGATTTACAAGCCAGAGAGCTCAAGCAGTACAACTCTGGGCAAGTTCGACCACCCGGGTGCCGAACTAGACCAAGGAAATGAAGATCCTAGAGTAAAATTGAAAAGTTTGACCCTGTCAGCTAGTCCCGTGGGCAACTCATTATTAGCTAGAACCATCTGAAACTTGCTTGTCGTCCCAGTACAGTGTGACCCCGCAGACTTTTCTTATGGCCGAATCTTGCGGGCTGATTTCTGGCTCGTGAACGAATCAAGTCTCTTTTGATCCATGCTGCCAATGCGTCTGTCAGACTATAAGACTGTTGAGTTATTGACGTTGTAGTTGAGTGAGTGCGATTTTCACACAGCATGATCGGTTGGAGACCTTGAACTTAATGAGAGACACTTGATTTTCTGTCTAAAAGAGCGGATAGTTGGTTTACATAACAATTGGTTTCCGTTCAGAAAGGGACGTCCTTCGTGATTTTAATTTCCATATAAATGAGCGGATCGATCTTCAAATGTGTTGAAACCATTTGAAACGCCAGTCTGAAATCATTACTGTCGTCTTTGCGGAAGGCTACTTCCAAAATTTGCCAATGGCAGTCCTGTCCTTCAGCTAATCTAGGTGACAGCGGCATCGTTGTAAGCGCGCGGTACTCATTCGTCCTTCTGCAAGGTATACGCAATCGAGTCCTCAATCGGTACTACTCTCACGAAGTCTTTTTCAGTGGTGCTGTTGCCGCGAAACATTTCCCCGATCCATTCGCGATCATCTGATCTATTGTATACGGGGACTATACCAGTGTCAGCTAATAACGTCCCTGGATTTAATGCCAAATGGAGGGCTTACTGGAGAAACCGAGGGAAGTTGTGCATGCACAGTCTGTCGATTGGCAGATTTTCAAAACGTAAGCTGCCCAAGCTTCGGCATTGGGGTACTCGTGGTAAGCAGCCTTGACGTCTTTGCAGGCCTTTCTTTCGTTCAACTCCTGACTGGCCACCCAATTCAATGGCGGTTCCAATTCAACGCGAACGAACTTGGCCAGCCCGGTGGCGATGAAAATTGTGCTTGCAACAAGAGAGAGCTTCATTTTGATGCGGCCTAAAGTGCTGAGTATGAAGTAAGTTCTGAGGGTGAGTTTCTGATGGAGAATATCTTGGATAACAGGAGAGGTCTTGCCGGCTTATATATCTCTACGAAGGCATACTCTCAATAGCCCCCAGCATCTCAGCCGCACACTCGAATTCGACTGTTCGTTGCATTGATATCTTTGGGCAGTCAAAGCCCAACCAGTTACGGCGACCTGTCTCAAAATAATTGTGACCAAAGCACTCCGTATACACGGCAGATAGTATTATGGCCTGGATGATTACTACATCGGACTGAATGAGGCTTTTACTGTTACTCCTTCACAGCAAATCGCATGTCTAGTTTCTGTATGGGATGGGCTAATCACCTAGGCGAATATGTGGTTTGAGTGGCTAATGTATTATGTACCCAAGGTGCAACCAATGTCAGCCTGAGTCGTCCGCCACAGGTCATTTTCTTCACGTATCCCGAGACAGAGAAATGCGAGGGGTGTAAGGCACTGTCCGGCTATGACTCAGCTGACTGCAGTGAGACATTCAACGACCCTTCCGCATTATTATGCCCGGCACTACCACTGCCGGTGATGAGTTGTGATTCGAACCCCAGACTGGCATAGATGTTCGGGCCGCCACAAGTTAGCAAATCCAATGTCGTTATTCTAGAGAATCAAGCCATCGACAGACTCGGGATCGGCGTGACCCGACCCAGTAGACGATACTTGCTTTGACATTAAAGTGAGGTACGAAAAGAGAGGAGTCATGCCGGTATACGAACAACAGATATTGAGATATTCATTTAGGAAACACAACGTATTGCCTACATTATATAGGTGAGTATAAGAGAAGTAGAAATAGCTCCAGGTGGAGAGTCCATAAACTACATAATCAACTCCTGATGCCAAAGTCTAGACATCAAAATCATAAACCCCCATAATCGCCTTGCATCTATTATCTACAAAGATTTTAGTGTGATAATCCATCATGTCTCATACCACAAAGTATTCAACATATTATGGACTCCTTGCCGACGTTACATCATAGTCATACGAGTCTTGGGCCTTGGAAGACGAAGGCAGCAGCAAGTGCAAACCAGGCCACTCCTAATGCCTGACACAACAAGTACAGTAATATATCGTTACCCTGTCTCAGTTGGCAGTGGCTGACATTGATTAACCGCATACACAGCATAGTCCTATAGGCTGTAGGGATCTTCAACAGTCATGTGCTTACGAGCCGCTCCCCAAGACAGCCCTACAAAATGGTCCATAGACATGTGGCACAATGTACTTGGCCACCACCACGTTTCAGCATTCTACATCCAGCCACGCGGGCCTTTCGGTCCCGACCGGGCTATTCTCATGTTATAAGCTTACCAAAACGGCGCGCTGCTTGAGCTTGTGTACGAAAGTTGGGACGCATCTCAGACACATATAGGCTTCAAATACGCAGTAGATCCGCCGATCTCGAGTCAGTCAATAGCCTGGTTCATTGGAACTTTTGATGTCTTGTAAGATTTTACGCCAATTGCATCCAAGTGACTATACGTTGTGATTGTGACAACTTGTGTGATTAGCTATTGGCTATGCAGGTCTGAGGCCCGCATTGCGACTCATCTTGGCACAGAAGGCACAGCCAGCCAGAATCCAGGGCTTTTATTGAGGCATATGGTCAAGTCGGAGTGTACTCTGGTTTCTACCGCATCAAAAAAGATTACCCGCTGCAGCTATCGCTGTCGCGTCCTTTTCGTGATGACGCGTTCGGGCAATGGATACCGCAACCTTTCCCAAGCCGAGCTTGCCGTATTCGCCGATTGGTTCCATCTAGCATCGGTTATGTGCGGCATTTGTAACAAACACATTGAGAGGCTTGCATAGGTCATCTTTTCGGGGCCGTAACATACACTACTTCTTGGACACCAAGCACCCGGATCCTTCAATTCTATGCTCAACGGGGTCCATGTTTACAAATATGATCAGATCCTTTTCGCGTGCAACAAAATCAGCTCATTCAAGAGGCGGAAAATGGTTTTTTGACTTCTGTCTCCATTTTCTCACCATGATAATCCCACCAAAGCCTAGTATCCATGTAGAAACCTGGGTAGCGGCACGATGGGAGCCGACTAATTGTGACAGATGGGAGGCGAAGGGCGCATGTGCTGTTCGATCATACATCCCTCATGTGGAGTTGGACTTGATACGAAAATTGGACGGGATAAGTTCGTTGGAGTGCAGGTAATGAACTTGTCTTGAAGTGCCTCAGGTTCGCCGTCCAGTTCCAATGTCAAAGCCCATGTCCTTCCGCAGTGAGTTAGCGGCAGACTCAAATCTTGACCAAAATCGAGGCTCGATATTACTATTAAGCCACCCAGTATGCTTAGGATGATCCTCAATGACTCTGATCTCACTCTCTAAAGTGTCCTGAGAGACGGGGTTTGGTTTAAATGAGTTGGCATATGATAATGGCATTTGGCAACGGCCTCTTTGCCAAATCTCGTACTGATGACCGCGTAAAAGGATGCCTCTTGAGCCTCCTTTGGATCTCAGGAGGTAGTGGCGGCGATAAACTATTCCTATTCAAAGTAGTTCAGCTCAGGAATAAGGGCATTACTCAATGGGAGGATTTCTAACAACGATGCTCCTGTCCATTCATACCGCAAGACTGGTGCTTCATCATCGTTAACAGAATGACCGTGACCGAGAAGAAAGAAACAACAGAGGTAATAATAGCAAAAAAGGGTACCGTACGTGTCCCAGCGGTCAATAGGTGAATTACAATGCGCATTTCTCAATCGGCAAGCGGTGAATGGAGTCGACCACAGACCACCGTGAAGATGCCGGCTTCGGAAGCCCATAAGGTCAACTGGTAGATTCCCCGACCGACCCCCCGCATTTTGACATACTTTTCCATTGGAAGCCATCGACGGCTAGCAGTGATGGCTATGTCAGCAAACTGTGGTAGCTGACGGCCGTTGAGGTTCTGGGCTTGATCAAGAGGGACCTGCTCACTGTCGAGGAGTACGCGAATGCACTATTGAGCCGCATCGAGTCGAGAGACGGCGTGGTAAAAGCGTGGGAGTACTTGGGTATGCCGTCTTGACCATCAAATACAAAGCAAAACTCACCTCATCTTTTTATCAGATTCAGACCTTGTCTTGAGCCAGGCTCATGCTCTAGACCGGGTTCCACGCCATCAGAGGGGCGGGCTTCACGGAGTAGCCATCGCCATCAAGGACATCATGGACACCAAAGATGAGCTTGGCTTAGCTCGGCCGGCTAGACGCGCAATATTACTCACTCTATCAAGACATTCCAGCAGAATACGGCTCTCCCCTATATAAAAGCAATAGGCCAAGTGCCGATGCGTCAATTGTTGAGATACTCCGGCGGGCTGGAGCCCTAATATTCGGTAGGTTGGCTGACTTTGCCGTGGGGGTCGTTCTGAATCGCTTACAGGCAAGACAACTAAGACAACTACCACAGAATTCACAGTCCTGAACCCAGGCCCTGACACCACCAATCCGCACGACGAGAACCGTTCGCCAGGCGGGTCATCGGCTGGATCTGCGGCCGCGGTGGCTGACTTCCAAGTTCCTCTCAGCTTCGGAACGCATACAGGTGGCAGTGTCATTCGTCCAGCTTCTTACACGGCCACATATGCCATGAAGCCAACCTTTAACACATTATCCGGCGAAGGCATCAAGGTCGCCTCCCTTGAGTTCGACACCATTGGATACTTTGCTCATAGTATAGAGGATCTCAAGCACATTACTGACGTTCTCAGTATCATCAAGGAGGAATTTACCGACATGGTATTGAAAGAGGCTAAAGTGGGCTTCGTCGAGTCACCGTTTTGGCCGTCTGCCGGGCCCGGCAGCATCGCATCCATGGAGAAGGCTGCTGAGACTCTCCACAATCACGGGGTTACGGTCGAGTATGCCGAATTCCCGGATGAATCCAACGGTGCCATAACTTTGAACAAGATGTTCAAGGTGATCTTTGTAAGAGACGGGGGTGCGGCATTCTACAGGGACCATCTCATGGACACTGCCAAGACGAAGCTGGACCCGGATGTCCGCGCCTTCGTCGACGATGCCCGCAAACTCTCCCGTGACGAGATACAAGAAGTCTCTGACTACTTTGCAGCCCTGCTCCCAGCATTGGATAAGATGGCCATGAAATGCTCCGCTCTTATCACTCCAAGCGCGACCGACGAAGCACCCTTGAGATGGATGATATGGGCAGTCCTGTTTTCAACTCGCTGTGGACGGTGAGGAGTCCTGGATTTTCCAGTTTTGCCATGGGCTAGCCTGTTGCCTCTAGGCAGATCATATGCCCGTAATCCATGTGCCTGCTTTTACAATACCCAACGGCATGCCTGTCGGCCTGTCTCTCATAGCCCGGCGGTATGATGATCAACATCTTCTGAGCATCGCCAAGATGCTCAGTGGGCCTCTGATGAGTGAAGGGGGTTGGCAGGAGAAACTGTTATTTCCTGATTCTGATGTAACATCTGAAGCTTGAGCACAAATATGATCCTCCATCGTACCTTTGATTGGTAAAGATAGAGAAGTTCAGTGAAGAATTAGGGCAAAAGTTTTCTCAACCCCAACAAGCGCGTAATGTGACATTTACAAACGTAAACTCGGGTAATTGAACCTTTTCTTCGAGCAGGTGTACCGTGGTCCAGCCCAGCTTTTCTGAATCATCTGAATTTGCGCCCCAAATATCCCCCCCTCGATGCGGACGGGGATCGGACTGTATGAACCAACAAAGTCGCATGGTTTAACATCTTCCATGCAAGCTTTCTTCATCGATTTGTTGATAATGTCGAAATGGGGTTTGGCTCTATAGTCATAGTAGGTGAGGCTTTAAAACTGATTCTCAATTTTAAGCAAATAAACAACGATATTCTGCAATATAAAATAAGCCATAATAACTGCACAGCCACTTGATGTAAATTTTAGAAAGCTTATTCTTTTTAGTAATCTTTATACAACTCCTTAACAATATATAGAGCTAGATCAAGAGTCGTCGTGCTGTTACGGTCACAACTTATTGGTATTGCCAGAGTTGTACCTGCACTTTTCACCCGCTAGAGTAACTAAAAAGTCGCCTACAGCTATACAGATTCAAAAATCTCGCGAAAACTAGTATGTATTCACTTTGCATTATCTTAAATAATGGCTGTCGGTTACTATCGACACAGTCAATGAGCTTGTGCTTTTCATGCTATGCTGTTCTCAAGACACAATTTATACGCTACTCTTTGTTACTTGGTCATTTATCATGCGTGATTATATCGTAGTATAGTAGTCTTGCCGCATCCTCCCTAGCGACAACCCCATCCAGCACGAGCTTACCCGCTGACTGTCTCCCGAGCACGCAGACGACAAGGGAGACCATATTTTGATAGATGAGCAGTTTAACATGACGGGTATTATTGACTGGGAGTGGGCACACACGGCCACGGCTTCACAGGCATTCAACTCTCCAATTGGCTTCTTGCCGGTGGCGGATTTCTACAATGGCAAGAACAGCCTGGGCGACGACGAGATTATTTTTGCGCAACTGCTCAAGGCAAAGGGGCGACAGGATCTGGCGCAGTTTGTCTGCAACGGCCGATTGCAACATCGATTTGCATTCTGCTGCGGGTACGATCTCGCTGACTGGGACGGGTTCCTGGGCCTGTTTCGAGGACTTCGGGCAGCAGTGGCTGTGGACGAGGATTTGGAATGGAATGAGTGGAAGGCTGTTGCGTTGGATCGCTACAAGGATGATTCTGGGTTGCAGCTTGTGTTGGCCAAGTGCTAGGACGCCACAGACTTGTACAAACTGTGCAAGACTTGAGTCGTCCCATCTATGCCGCGAGACGGTACGTGTAGGCAATCATAGGTGATGGAAGATATTACAGTGCTACATGTCGGATATCCCCTCGTACACGGACAATGATGAACGGCGTCTTTTGGCATCTTGGCTAAGGATAGTAGTTATACACATTCTAGACGAGCAGAGAAGCACCAATGCGCGCTCAGTGAATTCGGCGAGGGCCGTGGACAGCATTCCAGTCATGGAAGATGGATGCCGAGTCACCCTTTTTTTTTGCAAACGTAGCACACCAGCCTCGAATATCCCAAAACCAATCGAGATCAAAATGACGGACGTCCCTAATCACCACCGGTGCTGTTCACCACTGACTACTTTTCAGCCAATCTTTCCAGGATTCTTCCTGCCAAGTCATATGGTGAATTGCTTTGCGTGACCTCAAACGTGCCGAGTCCCCGAGGAGGTACTCGTGCGAGCCAGTCGACTAATCTACCAGCCGCCAGGGAGTCGACACTTAGGGTGGTCAGAGGCAGGTCTTGGTCAATGTCGGGAGATGGCAGACAGAGACATCTGCCAGTAGTGCCTGCGGAGCCTCAGCCAATACTTGGTGAACAGACTCTTTGGAGCTTTCTGCAAGACACTTCTTCAGTGACTTTTGCTGTGTCCTTTCTGAATCGCCTTGGTCGCCATTAGGAAGCCGGAGGCTGGCAAAAACGTGGCTCACGACACCAGTGCAAGTCGTTTGGGTTCAGCCAAGGCTGGATACCTGCCATAATCTGTCCCTGATGAGGGCGGGGTATTGCGAGCTCAACGAGACGCAAAGATGTCGGGCATTCCCTGAGCACGCAATAGCCAGCACATCATATAAACACATGACCTATGGGGTTCTTTCGGCCATACAACTCTCCTGGAAACCCCAGTGAGAAAAGCATAACTAGACCCATCACTTTTCCAAGCCTACAAATTCATTTAGTTGCTTTTTATCAAGTTGCTTAAACAAAATAAAAAAAAGGGCTAGGTGGAGGGCATCTAGTAACACTATGTTTTGGCCGTACCCAGGCCAGGGAACCGTAACTAACCACGCAAGACACCATGAGTACACGCATGGCGATGCGTCAGACACACTAGCCGATTAGTGAGAAATCCACCGTGGAGCTAGCCAAAAAATGAACACTGTGAGCTAATTTATCCTCATTGCGGAGGGTAGTTGCCTTTTATAACTGTTTGCATCCTCCTCTGTCGGAATTTACATCACCCTCAACAGAAGCAAAATAGCTAACCAAAGTGGCTCCAAATAGTTCTGTCAATACAAGCTCATGTCATCGCCCCGACTCATCTTCTGGGATCGAGGCAAACATCGAGCTCTGAGATAGCGACACCAAGATTTGCAAAAGTTACCTAGTGTAAGGCGGACCATGTAACAGGGACTCTGGTGCCATCAGCTCTTTGATGTTAAAGTTGGAAAGAAGGGCTAAAGCAATCCGGTTCCTCGGTTGGATACTTGTGAAAGAGCGGCCGGACTTGAGGAACTGGGTAAATTGGGTAGAGCTTTCTTTGGCATGTTTGACTCTATTCTGCGAATAGTGGCTTTATCCAAATTGCACTCGGCCTTGGGCGTGCGAATACTCTGCTTACTGGAGGTGCTGCACCAGCCGTAACGAAGTGTGTGTGTGTTTATATATAGGTCTATACACCTTTATATGTGCTTATGTGTTTTAATGTATATTGACATGTGTTTTTCTGCGTTTGTGCGAGCAATTACACAACCTTAGGCAAGGGAAGAGACTTGACCACTTTCTCAGATGCTAGCATCATGTCATGCCACATACTTTAATCCCAAGACTTTATGATATGAGTTCTGCGCAACTAGCACTACGTAGCAGTCCCATAGTTGGACGAAAAAAATTATATACACAAGTATCATCTATATCTTCCATGCTAATCAGACAGGAGACTTGGGTGTAGAAAGTCGTGGCAATCAGCCCTCGAGGACTGATAGGCCTCGACTATCTCTCGAGAACCTTTCAAAGCAGACTCGAATTCACTTCTTTCCTCGTCAGAAAGATGCCTCTTTTCCTCGTACTTCCACCAGGTGGTCGTATCAATCATGCCCATCATACAAGCCGCAAGAGCAGACGCCGCGTCCTTGTCAATTTCGACAGGAATACCCAGTGGTAAACTGGCGCACTCCACTTCGTTTGGGGTAGGATATTTGCCGCTTGCTGAGATGAGTAGCCTCTTTCCCGTTTCGAGCACTCTGCCCAATTGTATAACGAGTAGAGTATGAAGCCCTCGTCGAATGCTATCGTCTTGAATGGGGAAATCATCCGGGAGTGCAGATTCCTTGATCTCGCCGAGACCAAACTTGATGATACTGAATGCGTATTGGATAGCAAGCTTTTGCCGCTCTTCTTCTGGCTTGCCCGGCATGTGCTCCTTGAGGTAGCCCATGACAGAGAGGGTCTCCTCACTGAGATGTAGTGCTTTGGACTGTCCAAGAACAAAAGCAATGTCCAAGCTACCGGGCATACGCAGGCTCGTTTGGTTGACTTCTTCTGCAGCCTTGTTCAAATGCGCCCTAGCCTTGGAATATTCGTCAGGCCCGGGGAGAGAGTTGGGGCTCTCGGGGACGCGGCCCAGGGCAATTGGGCCAGCGTCTCGTTGATGCCCTTGTTCGGATATATTTGGATGGTTTTTTTCGTCCTTTATCCTTTCGGAAAATTGCGACTTGTACGCCTCGCCAGCAGCTGGTAGAAAAGTGGTCGCGTTGTCCTTGAGCTCAACTGGAAGACTCAAGAGGTACTTGCGCTGCCTGCGTACAATCTCGGCAGACGTCTGCTCAGTGACGTTTGCAATAGCCTGTTGGGCTCCAGTTTCGAGTTGCCCCTGGTCCAAGTCAGTGCCAGGGTCCAGAATCATGCTGCTGGCATTGAGCGCGCCAATCTGCTCCGCGCCTGCGGATGCGATGGCTCAAGACTCGGTCCCGAAAGCCAGGGCCAGCTGACGAACAAGGGCGTTTTCTGCCCCGTGTGGTTGAACGGCCGCATAGATGTATTTGAATCCTCTCTTTCTAATAAACTTGTCGTGCCAGATGTCGTCGCGTATCTTTAGGAGTTTGTCATGCGTCGGCACGTCAGGTGTAGATTCAAACACGGCCACCTCGACTATCACGACACCGGGGATAAAGCCGCCCATGGCCAAGGCGTCGCCGATCAAGCACAAGGTCGAATCGATTCCGCTGAAAATTTCGTTTCTGTTTTTGACTATTCCGTCCAGCGCGTTCATAACACAGTCCACAAATGGGATGATGCTTGTCATGATTGTTGCCCGGTCCATCAAACCCATGTCGGTTGTAAAGGCGTGGACAACTTCGCCCACCCACAAGGCACTTCCTGCGACGCCGGCCACCTTTAAGGCTACACCGCCAGAGCCAGGACGAAGCCTTGGTGAGGTGACCTCTAGCGCCTCGTACTTTAAAAATTCCTTTCTGAATGTGGTGAGGTCCTTGTTCACCTTGTTTGGCACTTCACTGAGCCCGTGTTTGTTTGCGAATTCCTCATATTTCCGTTCGACACTCTTTTGGACCTCTTTTGCCTTTCCGTCTCCTCGGGAGTTGCTTCACCTTTGGGTTTCTTGGGCTCTTGCTCACCTTTAGGTGTGCTTGACCCCTCGTCGCCGTTAGGTTCCTTGTCAGCCTCGAATGGGTTTTCCCAATCGCAAAGTGAGCTCTGTCTCTTCATCTTCCTTAAGTCACTAAGAGGTTTATTAAGTACAGGATTTACCGCTTTAATGTCCTCGTGGAGTGCTTCAAGATTTCCCTCGTGATTACCCTTACTATTATCTCTCCATTGAACATGAAGGAACTTCTTAGTCATCCCAGGGTTGGCCTCAATCGTTTTAACTTCATCATACGGCCTTGCGATTCTTTCTTCTTCTGGTTCTGCGTTGCCGTCATTTATCACAGCTATGGGGTTCATGGACGGCTTGAAGCCTTCCACTGCCTCGGTAGTTGCCACAGCTGTGACGTCGTTGAACGGCTTGAAGCTTTCCACAAGTCCCTTTGTACCTGGACCACCTCCAGTGTGTTCTTTTCAGAGTTCTTCCAGCCTCTTCTCCAAAGTGCCTCCTTTGTTCTCGAGGACCGTCTTTGGAATGTCGATGTCTATGCCTCCCGCCTTGGTGTGAATTTTGGCCTGAGTCGACCATCTTGGCTATTCGTCATAGACACACAACCCCAACGACTGCATGGTTTTATTGCTTTCAAGCCAAATCTCACCACGTCAAGATGACCGTATAGCGTCAAGACACCAATATGCATAAAGGACTCCATCTGGAGGCGGCAAGAAAAATGTCCAAAGTAAAGTGGTTGTCATATCAAAGTGCAGGCTAACTAATCCATAATACGGCCACCCTCCCCCCAACCGGGAAGGGGTCATGCCGAGGGACACCACACATGTGGATAAGATTGCCCGGGGACTTGCGTAATGTTGCCAATTATAGGCTTGGCGGGCAGGCATCAATGGACATGGAGCAAGTTCCATGTCGAAGCGCGCGAGCTCGGACAAAGGAGTTTAATCTCCTTTCTATTCTGTCTTGCCCTTTAAAGTAGAACACATAGCAGCCCGACCCAAGTTATGCGCGCACGCGACATAGCCTATTTATGTATTAAAAGCAGTCTCATTGAAATGAGGATGCTGCAAGAACAGAAATAACCCAACGATGAGATGAGCCCGGCCTGTTTCCAGCAGACAATTATAAATGACACCCCGGGCTCTCACAACGCTGACAAAGATTCGCGTTGCTTTGCTCTACTCCTAATCACGGACATGCATTAGAAACAGTCGTCTCTTGCTAGCCAGGCAGTCAAGTGCTACTACTCACTATATATCTGCAATAGAAGTTGGGGAAAAGGCCGCGGCATTTACATTCGTCGCGTCCGGGGCAAGGCCGGAAAGGACTACAATATCTGCTCTTAAGCCCCATGTCTGTGTCCTCATATTCACACGTCGGTCGATTGACCGGCCTTTTAGCTGAGGCTGCCCCTAACAACCCGATAAGGGACATTGCTATTGCGATTGTGGCCTTCATCTCGAGTGCTCTTTGGGGTGACGGGTTGGACTGGGATAATTGAGAGCCAGGATGATGCCAATTGCGGAAGAAGAGTTCTTCATAATTCTGTGGGACTCGTTTGAAGCCAAAAAAAACATGTTGCACCTAGAGGGAAGTGGACCGTCTTATACATCTCATGCTCACTACAGAATGTTTTTCTTGGCTCGGACTACAGTCTTTAAGCAGAGGGCTACGTTGCTAGTTTTCAAGGCTATTGTGAAGTTTTGTGCATGTGATGAACCCTCCCGGCAGAACGATGCACACCGAATCCCAGATCGGATGAAACAAACGTGAACAAAAAGAGCTAGCTAAACAAGTTGTGATGAATAGATATGCCGTCCAAAGGATTGTGGAGACTGAGTGCCCGTCATGAATGCCATGTAGAGTGGTTTCACCTGGTTTGGTCTAAGAGTCAGCTTTCCAAGGCCTCTGTGGTTTTTCCTGGTCATTGCCGCCTCTTTTGGGCATTGATAGACATGAACGACTAGGTCCGATTCCTACGTGAAGTCCTTGCCAGGAGTCTAGGCAAAGCTGAACAATGCCTCTGAACTCGAAGTTGTTGAATTTAAGCCACTGGCGCTGCTTTGTGATGTTCATCATGAGGTCGGATGTGCGAGGCTAGCAAGACGGTGCTACTCCACAGAGTAAACTAAGCCGAAAGGATCTTCCTGGGTACTTTTACCCGGCTTCGTCTACGGAGTAGCTCTGTGTAAATTTCAGGCTGCAAAGACCCGTGTCTCAAATAACCTGCGTCGGCCCGGGTTCGGGTGGCCAATGCAGAGGCTAACTAGCACGTCGAGGCCTATTGCTATTAGGGCTACTAGCAAAACACGTAAATGTACTCGTCATTTCCATCTCTTTAATCTTTAGTTCCTATTCTATAGCCTAGCGCGATGCGTGATGTTGCTGGTACTCCCAATAGCCGCATTTCTTGTGCGTTAATCCATCGCAGTGTAGTGTTCCAAGGATTCGTATTGAACGTGGACTTGGCCCTTGGATTGAAGCTCTCTATCGAGGAAATTTAGGCCTCTTTAATCATTGAATTCAGAGGGCATCAGAAAAGGCCACCTTTCAATTGAAGAGGCAGGGGAAAGCCCTTGTTGAAGGTTTTCAACTAGCTAGTCTATCTAGATTACGTGGCGTTAGATTACGTCCATGAGAGACCTATATGACGTATCCGATGACCCCTTGACAACTAAATCTAGAAGATACAGCGTGGTGGGAGATTTCCTACAATGCATTTGGTCACATTAGACAGTCTTGTGGAAGAGATGCAGTACAAGGAAAATGGCCAGCAGCTACTCGCCGTAGTGTCTTATCGAACAATGTCATGTCACCTCCCACACTGAGCGTCCTGGCAACGGACAGGGTGACATCGCGACCAACTACACGTACTCTTTCGAGCAACTTTCTTGGTTGCAACGGTAGCCATAACTAGAATGACGAAGACAGCTTGTTCCGGAGCCCCATGGTGACACGTATGACCCAACTGTCACGGTTCAAGGAGGATCTCAAACAGAGAATACGTACAAGAAGTTTGATCATGTTTATATTTCTGAAAGACAGAAGAATGCCAAAAAAAAACTCACACAGACTATCACTTTCCATGCAAACGTGTCTGCCACGGTCGATGCCCAAGAGAGTCAACACAAAGGACGAGGACACATGCAGCAAAGCGTCTCGTACTGAAACAAGCCATCATCAATTTGACCAATAGAGCAATCCAATCGAGGAAACAGAATCGAATGGCATCACCACAGTTCGCGAGTACTATCCACCAAGCGGTGAAAAGGGGTCAGATAATGTCGTGCAATGCCCAGACAATTCGGCCAGGAACAAGCGGCCGCGTTGAGCCACCACACATCGAGAGCTACACATGTTTCCAAATGCCACACATTCACAGGACTCTTGGTGCGTCTAGGCCGCTGCAAATCATCTCCTCAAAGTTGCTGTTCGTCTCGAGATGACCCTTGACTGCCTCCACTTCTATTCCCTCCCACAACTCGCAGCCAGCTAAGCGCACTAGACTATCATCGAGGCTCTTTGTCTCCATTACCTTTCGTTTTGGAAACGGTTTCATTCATCACACGTAAGCACCCGACTTGATTGAAGTAAATGCCCTTAGACTTGGTGGTAAGTGCCATGTTCTACGCTGCATTTATGACGTGTCGTGGCTCATGTTAGAGGTGCTTGCTTAATTCCGCCTACCATTGTGTTCTTGCTGGGTATTTACCACGCTTGTAACGGGCGGCAAGGCTGCGTATTTTGTTGTTGTCAAGCAACGATAGAACTCGGGAACAGTTGCGGTCCTGGCTACCACCACCGACTATGACTACATGAAGCAACCTACGACCAGACACCACGGGCGTAAAGACCAGGTACACCAGTGATGGCTTGAAAAGACTCCATACATTGACAAACAGAATGATTCCACTCAGACTATGCGCCTGATCCAGAAGCAGAACAAATACAATGCGCAGGGCCAAGAGATCGAGGCGACTGAGATGGATTGGTTAAGCACAGAAAATAAAGGCTAGCCACTGAACAACGAAGCACCACATCCATCGAGTACGATTACCAGGGGAATGTCAGCAAGGTAACCGAAAGCGACTCTCTAGCTACTTCAAGGACCCAGGACCCTATTTCGTTGACAACAACCGAAGGCATCAGAGGGGAGGGCACAACAAAAACCGAAATGAACCTTTTTTAGCACCCCCAAGGCGATATCACTCTTCAAAGGCGACTCTTACAGCACGCTCTGCAGCAAGATTAGCTACGCGTACGACGGGTTCAGACGCTGTGTTAATAAAACGGACCATCTTGGCTGAAAAACAGGACACGACTATGACCCCTTTAACCGCATCATGACCACCTGGCCGAGCGGACGCATTGTTAATACACACTACGCCGATCACACCGCCGCGGTCCTTCCCAAATTAATGCAGCTCAATGGCAAAAGCGTCGGACAGCAGTCATTCAACAGCTTAGATCGTATAACGTCCAATTGGCTCCCAACTTACTCATCAGACATACGAGCATGTCGCTCCCGAGCTAACTCACATCAACAGCGCCAAGGGCGACCAGCTTGATCCCACAGTTGAGTCGGCTTTGGGCCATGCCCCTATTAGAGTAACGACTGCCGACACTGCAGATTCTTTCCAATACGATCACCGACTTGGGGCTTTGTCCGAGTTTAATGGTTCCTACTCGACTCACATCTAACAGCACTTTCCTTCTGGTCTGCTGTCCAAGGAAGTCATAAACATCAAAGGCATAAACCAACTTTCAACAAGTTGTACTTACTCCAAGGCCGGGAAGCTGCAAAAATACACAGATGTTCACGGGACGACAAGTGTGATGGACTACAATGTACGCGGCAGACGTGCGCCCCTTTCCCAGTGCAAAGTGCCATTGTCCCTGGCTGAAAGCCGTGTTCAAGACGAGGCAAACAAGACGACAACAACGACGAAGCTGACATGCGATGACTTTGGCCGGGAGACGATACCATCCATCTACAAGGACAGCACAACGCTGCTCCAACATCTGACCCAGTCGTACAAGGAAATCGATCTAGTAAGCTCGCGCAAGAAGGAAAACGACCAGGGTATTCTACGGGAAGAATCTTTCCAGTACGATATTCACAACCATCTCGTCAGCTACGACTGTACCGGCAGTCAACCGCCGACGGATTACCAGGGCCGCTCACTGCGATGGCAGCATTTCAGGTTTGGCAAACACGACAACATCACCCAGTGCTCAACGTTATTTCAAGACGGCAGTACCAACACGGCAGTCTATTCGTCCAGCGAGCAGGATCCCACACAGCTCGTCAACATGAGAAATACTGACACCAGCGACCCTGCCAAATAGACCTCGAGTACGACGCAAACGGCTGCTTGACTCGAGACGAGCAAGGCGGCACATGGCAATATAACAGCCTGAGCCGTCTGACCGCCGTTTTTGACGCCAACCACCGGCGCCTCTGTCAATATCAGTACGGTGCCAGTGGGAAACTCGCTTGCCAATGATTCCCAACCAGCCCGACACACACTTCTTCTACGGCGAGACTCTCTCATCGCGGTAAAAGCAAGAGAACGCCGCGTCAGCTACTTGTCCAGCGGATCGCAGTACTGGGTAGAAACAGCTGCGGCAGCGTAGCAAATTTTAATTTTAGCAGTGTGATCACGTTTGGTTCTCGTTAGGACATCTCCTCGCCTCATCATTATTTGCTCTTGCGTGAACACCGTAGGACTGAGTGACCAGGTCCCAGACTCCCAATTTTCCATGTCCATTTCCATTTCCGACAAACGGGACTGACAGCACGCGAGGTTGGCGCCGGGGGACGGGCTAGAATGGGGGAAACCGTAGCCTGTGACCACACACACACTCGGGATCAAATCCGTGACTCCGAACAACAAACGCATGTTGGTTACCAAGAGAGCACATCAGGCTTCGGTGAAGTATTGCGTGCCAATTCTAAAAGTATGTGCGAATCTGATAGGCAGCAGCAGCGTTGGTGACCATTCGTGCACAAGATCAAGTCATATGACAGTATACCCACCCCTTCCATCGGAAGCAAAGAACCACCCAAAATGGCCACCATCGATATCGCAACTGCATTGACCATTCCCGGTCTTGAGCCTACCTTGACAAAGGATGACCTGAAGGAATGTACCATCATGTACGTGGCGGTCCCCTCGCTTGAAACTCTCGGATTCCTTGACAGCTGAATAATCGTGCCAACATGATATCTACCCCTGAGATATAATGGCCTTGCCCGAATTCAGCCCGATATGGGTACTGAGCAAAACCATGTTCGCAAACTAGTCCAGATCATCATTAAACACGGCCAGCTTGGCAAGTTTAGCTTTCATCTGGTCCACCAGCATGAACCCATCACCGGCGACGCCATCAGACTCGAGTCAAGCCTCGGCATCTTAAACGGCAAGTGGAACAAGGCTGTCTTGATAGACTCCATCAATCTTGGCAACATACATGGGGTCGTTTTCAAATTCTTCTCTGCAGAGAATCGCTTCGTTCCGTGCGAGTTTGCCCAGGGGCCTTCACCAAATCGCTCCGGAGATGTCGATGGTGTCTTCCTTCAGGAATTCACGAGCTACCTCACCGGACATAACCTAGCCAATATTTTAGCACTGGAGATCGTTGGACATCGTTGGACATAGAAGTGGATAGGTCGGGCACTGTGATACTACCGAAATCCGCCGTGAATGCGCGCGAGTTCCTCCCTACAGGTTGGCCCGGCCTACTCCAGCCCGACGACAGCAACCCTCCCGCAGGTCAGGCCTGGGCCAACAAGGTTGATGAGTTCCACAAAGTCTTCATCAACAAGCCGATAGGGACTGCAAGAGAACTCGTTGATGAGTTGGTTCACCAGGATGTGCTTACGCCTAGTGCGCTCACGCTCAATGCCACACAATATACTGCCAGGGGCGGTGTCACAGACCGCGGTCAGCGGGAGAGTTAGGTGTCCCCCTACCCGCGGTGGCGACTTCGCCATCAATTCAAGGTGTCTCTGTGTAGCTCTTGGGATACTTATATTAGCACCGCACTTCAGACAATGCCCATTCCCTGTGTAGAAAGCAACAATATAATATATGATGAGTGACCATATAGTATCGAGACATATAACAACAGAATGAACCCATATCGTAGCAAATCCTCCATTCAAACCGAGTTTGCTTGTACGCTAGCCTATTCGCAATGTGAACGGATAGACAACATTGCCTCGAGACAGACCAGATCCGGGTCGCCAAGTACAAGAGGCTGCGCGTTCTCTTTTTCAGGACGCCGATCAAAGCCGTGAGTTCGTAACAGACCCAAGAGTCTCCCAACTCCAATCGCTCGTCTGTCCTCGTCTGAAACGCAACCAACTGTTTCGTAAAGAGTTTCCCAAAACGACGTCCGGAGGAATTCGTGGTCAGGATGGAAGTAGTAGCTTGTTGATGTTTGTATGCCTAGAATTGTTTCGAGACCACCCAAGGACGTGGCGAAAGGACTAATAACAGCATCTTCCCAGTCAACAACAATACCCGTGATGCGGCCGGTGTTTTCATCCACATGAATATTCATCTCGAGGAGGTCGTCGTGGTTGAGCACCATGCGGTAGTCTGGTCGAAAGAGCAGTGGATGACCTTCACGGATCTCTTCTAGTTTTGGTTGAAAGGAAGGGCTTCGGAAAGTTTTTCGATGATGTGAGAATAATGAGTGAATAGCGAGCTGGCAATATTCGGAGTCTGCTTCAGCCTTGGTCTGTTAATCCATGCTGATGCAAAGAACCTAGCTAGCGTATTAGCAAGGAATCCAGTATAATATGATGAGCACACCCACACACCTTGCAAAATCCTGTGTAGTCTGAAGCAAACAGTGTTTCATGACAGGGGCGAGGAGCTGATGTCGGGCTCGACAAAAAGCAACGCCTTGGACAAGATCCATGACGTACACGTAGACATGGCCTAACATGTCACGTAACTCGCATCCAGGGACGAAATCTCCATAAGTTTGCCGCGCTAGATTGACGGTTTCGATATTCAAAGCTGAGCTACGGAGTTGAATTACCCCAGGAGGCGAGTGGCCGACGTCGGTCGCCACAGTGTAGCTGGCCCGGCCTTGTACAAGTGTTGGCGAGACTGAGCTGCCAGTGAGTATTGTAGCAGCTTGGTCACAATCATCCCGGGTAATAGACTCCAGTCAGCTGAAAAAGGAGGCAATCTAAAATGCAGACAGTGCGTCGATACTCTCCGCCTTGACTGCATATGGAGAAATATCCATGGCGACGTTACAATGAAACAAAAGATGGGGGGGGGCGGCGAAGTTCTCTTTAGGGGACCGTTGACGGTGGAGCAACTAGGGTTGGTAAGAAGTCCAAACAGGGCACCTATGTAATGGAGCGCAGCAGGTCGAGAATAGGCCATACAACGGTCACATTAGAGGCTGCAATGTGTAACGAGAGATAAAGGAGCCAGCAAAGTGCCTGCTCGCCTTTGAAAGCCTCTGAATGTTGAGGGGCAGGGCACAAACAGCACGTGATCCCAGACTGAGTCCCAACAGCCTGGGCAAGAGGCACTCTGCCAACTTGACCCTACTAACAAAGTTGATTAGCAGGCGGCGATATGGACGAAACTCCGGCTTGATCAGTCAAGGAGCAGTACATTGTCGCCACCAAACGAAGGAAATTTCTTTAGCATTGCATTTTATCCCATTCCCGGTCAAACGCACACTTGCATAGCCAAGCGTCAGCACTCCTGTCCCACCAGGATCTCTAGAGTCGGGACCGTAATGATTCATCAGATTCTATCCACGCCTTCGAGATAACCTGCTGGTCACTTATGGTTGCTAAGTTAACGTGAAGGACACTATCAACGATGCGCTATTGAGGCCCACAACGAGCGCACGACAGTCAAGCAGATTGGGGATGAAGTTGTCCCGGACCTCCATCTCGTTTTTGCTCGATATGGCAGCGTCGACGTCGGGCCCTGCTGACGCCAAGATATCCAATCAGCGCACTGAAACTAAACGTGCCCGGCGCGGGCCGGCCCTAGGCTTGGCTAGCGGCCGGATAATTCCGCATTGTATTCGATCCGGACCAGCTGCGCCGCCTCAAGTAGCTTTGTGATTGCACTAGTATTAGGTATGCAGTTCTACTGTGCTAAATACAACGGGTTTAGTCTACACATACTCTCCAGAAGGGGTATATGCTCTTTGCGCGAAAATCATCCCGACAAAGACTGCAACGAGCACTTGAAGTGTGCTCGCCGCCGGGAACAGATACATCGTCAATGTCGTCGAGCCTCCCCAAAAGTACCGCATCACCGGGCGGGGGACCAGGACATGCCATGCTCCCTTCACCTTGCCCAATAGCCTCTGCTCCTTTTCTATCCTTGCAACTCGGCGAAAGCAGGGGGTTCATGGCGGGCGTCAAGGCGCCGACCAGAGCCGCGACGCTGGCCAGAACCACCATTGACTTCATTTCTCAAGTTGGGACGTCAAAGGATATGGCGGGCAGTTGAAAGAGTGCCAACGCGAGTATTGATCGGGCTGCACACGTGAACGTGCCTCTCGGACGACGCACAAGCGGGTGACGACCCAATCACTTATAGAGAAAACGGAGACGCCAGGCTTCATGGCTTTCGCTGCATAACAACGGCATTGTCTTGGTCCGAGTCATGCGCTCTGCAGCGTCGCGGGTGCTGTATAGGCTTCATACTGTTTCGCCAATGTCTTTAAATGAAAGACGCACCACAGGCTCCGGATGCATTGGTCGCTGGTCCTCAGAGTGATTCCCCTCAAGTTTTACCATTGCGTCAATCGCCCGCAGGTAGGAAACTCTGGGCGAACCTTGGTGTCAAGACTTGCAGGTCTCTGGCATACTGTATCAGCATAATTCCGCAGTGTGCTGTGTGATTATAGTTGCCCATAACCATTAATTAGCTGGCCCAAAGCCACGGCCCGATGGAGTTTCTTCCACATCAAGGTAGATGATTGTGTGGTGGTCTCTACAATGACGCACGTGGATATTGCAAGTCCTTTGCACCCGGCAATTGTGCCAGTCGACGGACGTGCACGCGGCGATGAACACAAGTATTGATTCCTTGCATGAATAGTACGGTAGGATTCCCAGAACGCGAGCAAGCGAGGTCGTAGAAGAACGGTCCACCAGGAGGATCCATCATCCATGGTCCCGTCCCATGTTGACATGACTGCGAGCGAGGGGTAGAGAGTCGATCGTATAAGTGGCAGGCGAGGACACAGTATTTACGAACAGACCAGACGTGGGCTATTGCTGCATGAGTTTTTGTAACGTGAAGAGGCCACCCGACCACAAGAGGGTATCATTCTTACCTAATAGGCGGGAAGGCTTCGGGGCACCCTGCGGAGTAATGGCCGGCCATGTACGACTCGGCCGGGCTCGCTTCTTCAGCTTTCCGTGTCGGTTCGTCTTTGCGGAGGCGGGAGTGGCGTGTTCGCAGAGGCACGAGGCCGCCAATTGGGGTTGTGCTATTTGTGCGGCAGAAAATCGTTATTCGTGCGGCACTAAGCCCAAACCAATTGGTAGCAAGTTAGCAACTTCCTTATATAGCTAAAACGGGCCTACTTATCCAATATATAGCTGCACGTAAGAAAGGGTGTAGTTACATTCGAGATACTCCATAAAGGCCCTGAATGCGTTGCGTTTGCAGTGGCCTCATCACGCAGCTTCGGATGAGGGGGACGCGCATCACCATCTCTGAAAAAGCATAAATGCCAGCCTGCTGCCTCTGCTCTACACTCATAATCCAACTCGATCCATCAAGTCTAATCTACTCAACACCTTTTTGCCACCGTCGCTATTCTTTTCCAGCAAACATGAAGTTGACACTTGTGGCCATGGCTTTTACCGGGCTCACGCTCGCCAGCCCCATCCAAGAACTCGACAAAAGACACAACGACTGGCCAAGCTGCATGACTTTTTGCAACACACCGACCTGTGCTATTAAAAACTGCTACGCGTGGTGCACCAAGGCATGCTGCAAGATATACCCTTCATCTCGGCAGTGTTAAACTATAGAGACCTTCTCTCCGGGTACCTTTATACATCCTTCAGGGAGGCGGCTTTGGTTGCTGAATGGAATTTGCACCAAGTTGAGTGTGCGTGGCGTGTCGGCACTTTTACCTAATGCAGAAGGATGCCTTGCCTTTTTCTCCAGAGCATTCGCTTTGAATTCGCTTTGACAAAAACTTGACTGATGACGGACCAATGGGGTTTTTTTTCTGTTTTCATGTCGGGAGCTGAGTGAGGAGTAAGACGGTCACAAAATTCCAAGGCTGTGAGCGGACTGGATCAGCATAAAGCTGCAATATCAATTGCAATTTATTTGACGCAGCCCATGACTTTGTCGCATGTACAGCCATGCTATCATAGTATTCGACGCGGACTAACTGGTCGCAAGTGCATAAATTCTAGAAGCGCACAGCGCATGCCGCTTGACTCGGTCTTTCGTGTTTGCCTACTTTCTGTATCTGGTTGTAGAAGGGGAAGCCTGTTTGTGGGGTTGGTGCATTTTTTCTTTAATATACCAGAAGTTACTCTAGCTAGCCGCCTCTGAAGCATTGCTGTCTTGATGAAATGAATGTTTCTCATGCGCGGGTGTAACACCGGGTTGCGATATCCGGCCGCCTCAAGTGCTGTTTTGCCACGCGGCGCATTATTTGAGAACGAGCCGCCGACGAGTCCGTCATGGTCCATCTCGCTGTGACTGCCCCAATCAAGTCTTGACCCCAGCATCAGTCATCACGGTCAACCTCCATTGGTGAGTCTGGCCAAATATACAATGGATGACGGGAGCCAGTGGTTTTGCGACAACTTCCGGCTCGGCATCGGCCTCCACGAGCATCGACACACTCCTGTGCTTTTTGCACTCTGAAAGAGATGACATCTACTCCGGTCACCCACCAGAGCGTGTACAAGGTCAATCGCTGTCAAGATGGCCCGACAGCAGAGCACTGGGGCGCGACAGCACACGCAAGACTCAACTAAGCTAAGGGGGCACTTTTTCTCGAGACGATAACTTCTTTTCACTCCGGTAGCATCTCGGGCGTTCTGCTTCCTACAATCTAGGAAATGGGAAATATGGCTTTTGTATCGTCGCTCCATCATGGCCCTTGAGTGCCGCGAGATACATCGTAACAGGCCCATGGAAGAAACACCCTCATGTTCTCTAGACAATCCATTTCCAAATCGCCATCTTATTCTCAAAACTGAGGAACCAGTGGCACGGCTCAAGTGGTAGCCATAGAATACATACACGTATTTGATGCAGGTGCATGTTCTCCAGGTCTTTATGATGCTCCTGCGGTCCTCCATCCACGACTCAAATCCGGCAGCACCGAGTAAAAAAAAGGAGCTAGATGAATGCCTGTTATACCCAGAATTGCATCATCTAGACGCTGACTCATTCTGCAATCTAGCCGGGTTGCCAACTGTAAACAGACTTCTAGACAGGCCCTCGGTCCAAATAGTCGGTTCCCCAAGCCATATAAATGAAGATGTCACATTTATTACACCTCTATTCAGTATCACGTAGCGATACCTCAAAACTTGAATCATCTAGAATGTGCACAATAATTTCCTTGGCGGCCGGTAAGAGCGGTCAAGGCTCGTGAAAGCGGAAAAAGTCGGGCAGACGCATCGCCAAGTTCGGATCCTCTTGAATGTCAAGCTAGGACCTCGCCTCTGGACCGCTTCGGCAGAGCGCATGCTCCACGGTCATGATTCACAAGATTGACGCTGCTGCTGCTGAAAGCAAAGACCGACAACAGCGCATCGGGCAAGCTATGGGACGGTTCCGAGGTATATCTAATGAGGTATTAATTAAAGCGAGAATAATCTTCGAATGCACCCTCTCCGCGAAAAGAAAACGTGTCTGCGTGGACATTTGCCCTGTGCTGAGAGCCACCAACTTTGATGCCACCTCACGACTCCAGCTTTCAATCTACAACGCCAATGATACGTCGCCCCGGCATTGAAACCCTCAACTTCTGCAATCCAGCGAATCTTGAAACATGGTAGACACCCACGCCTCATCTCGATACTCCACTACCACAGAGCGTCACTGTCCACCATGTCCTTCTGCAGATTGACTCGCCTCTCTGATCTGTCGCTGAAGCGCTTATTTGTAGAAACATTCGACCTCGGAGATGGAACCTTTGGGCTTGGAGGCTTCGGGGTTGGTCTCGGGTTCGAGGGCAGTCCAGAGGGCCCGGACGGTGTTTCTTGCCCGTAAGGGCTCCCCGCCATTTTTTGTGACGTGTATGACCTCGGGGACAAGTGTTGACGGATATTTGGGTCGTAGGCATAGTGTGTGTTATAGCTCTTCCGATGCTCATCCTCGTCAAGAGGCAAGGGACTCGGTCGATTCGGCTGGCGAGGCGATGTTTGCTTCCAGGCTGCTCCAAAGGCAGCACCGGGGTGGAAAGCTGTGAGAAGAATGGCAGACACTAGCGGCAATGCACCGTCCATTATCATAAAGGCAATTTCGTTCTGAGACAAGCCAGCATCCACGCCGCCAGCCAGCTCAACTATTCTATAGATTGAATACGCGAGGAGGGCTGTGGTGGATATCTCAATGCCTAGGAGAAATCGGTTAGATAGTGGCCTTTGAGCCATGTATTGCTCATTCGTCTTTACCTCTGAGAAATCTTCCAAACTGTGATGACGTGTAGACTTTTGAGTGCGTACCATCCGAGACGCGGTCACCGGAGCTTAGTTGTAAGACGAGGCAAAAGTACGCAGTTGCACTCCCCAGCAGTGCTACAGCCTGGACACTCAGGCCGGAAACCACGATTGCAGCACATTTTGCTCTCTGAACGAAAAGGTCAGCCCCGATGCCTTATTCTTCACGTCACTTGTATCATGCAGCTCACTGATAGGCCGTTATATCCGTAAGTAACAAACACAATCCCAACCACCTCGACCGCAATAGCCACAGTAGTCAAGCCAAACAAGGTGTAAGCGGCAAGTGTCGGCTTGTTTTGACCAAGGTGTTCTCCATAAACACGCCGGATATGCGGGATTACCACAAATATCGAAGCTGTGAAAAATGATGGACCTAATACTGTGCCCAAGAGTGACAGCAGGAAGTGCCCAGGGTTATCGGGTGTTTGATGCAGCAAGACTCTGCCAACAAAGCCAAGCAAGCTCAGAAGATGCCCTGTTGCCAAGGTTAACGAGAAGAATCGAGTACGCAGTCTCACACCAAAGTATAGGACCGCAGGCAAGAAGAGAGCGTGAATAGCAAGTAGCACGGCGTTGCCGCCAACGTTGGGGCTATAGTTGTAAAAGCCTTCAGGAACTGGGCAAGATGAGCCACAGCTGGCCTCCATGATAAATGTAGACCAGATCTTTCATATTCGAATCACAGATGAAAGCTTGGGCAAGTGGCAACAGCCGCCAGGTCCAATAACCCCTCCGGGAAGAGGCCTTGTTTATATCCATCCCCGCGTCTGCCTACGACGAACGATAACCGACACAAATGCAGCCCAACAGCCGGGCCATGCAAGTCGTTGGGGGGGGGTGAAGGGGAGTGGATGGCCCGCGGATGTCGGTGCTGTTGGTTATACATACTGGCGGCACCAACAAGTGCTGGATAAAAAGATGGTGTGATTCACAAGTTACCGCATTCGCTATTGCGCAGCCCGTCACAATATGCATCATCCAATAATCTGCTACGATAAGCAACGAGGCTAGATGAGCCCAGTCTACTTCTGCAACAAGGCCTTCCGACAGCGCAGTCACAAGTAGTGGGTTCTCTGTCTGCTAACATAATAAATGGCCCAGCCAAACCGTGGCAGCAAACAGAAGAAAAGGAGATTGGTCCCGGGAGTTTGGTTCTGCCGTCGCCCCCAAGCATTAAGAGTCTCAAGAACCACTCACCGGGTCTGGATCAGCGTGAAATGGTAAGTCAACGAGACTTGATGAGCAAGACAAAAGACGAGCCAGCAAAGAGGGGGTTGAGAGGTCCCCCATTCTCCGAAGCTCAGGCCGACGAGAATGGACGGCAGGCAGGGCTCTGAATCTGCCTCCCGTGTCAGACTCACAAGGCTGTCGTTGTACAGCATCATATTGAAAGCAGGGATGAGACGATAGTAGACTTGTGATTGGTTGGTTGGCTGCCGCTGCCAGACATCGACAACTGAACACAACGGGCCGGGATTTGCGGATTTGCCCCCAATGTCCCTCACTAAAGACACTGCGCAGATTGGGCCCGTGGCCCCTTCGCAAGAAGACGAGAGAGGACAACCTGCGTTTGGTGGCGTCACGGAGGGTAGCACGAGGAATGGCTTCTCATTTGAAAGGCAGGTGTTGGTCTTGTGCTCTCCTGTCAGGTGTCAAGTATACGCTGTAGGAGCCATGGTGATTGGGTGGTTCCTGGTTTGTGGTGGATGCCGTCCTGTAATGGCGTTGAAGCACGAGCAATGAAGATGATGGTCAGGGGATTGTAGAATCGGGCCAACAAGCCTGCAAGAATAGCTCACTTGGTGCTGTATCCGAGACCGAAGGTCTGTTAGCTGGTGCCATTTCCTGCCATCTCTCGAGGGCTAACGGTCCAATAAAGGACAAGATGTGCGTACTATAGAGTCTTTGGCGTCTGCCAGAAACCAACATTGAAGAGTTTCGACTGTGTCACCGAGCATGTCGGGACCAACGAGGTGGTGATGAGTGCTAATAAGCACACCGCCGACAGAGTACAGCGTGCGTTCGGAAGCCGTCAAAGCGCTCCGACAACAGGCCGATGTGCTCGTGTCTGGTGATCCCACGACAATGTCACTCGCATGTGCAGATCACAATGCGCGGCCCACAGCATCTAGGACAGACAGATTGGCAATGAAAAAGTCATGGTTTGTTCCAGACTTTATCTCGGGGCCTGACGAGTCGCACGGCTTGTGCTGCATGTGCGGAGGCGTAAGATTTATGACAGTTGCCCACGGAACAACGGCTCCTGCGCCTTGTCTCAGCATCACGCCAGAAATGATGCTTTGTTTTTGAAGGAAAGAGCAAGTCGGCTTTGGTCTGCAGCATGAAGGCCTTGCACTGCCACACCAGGTGCCTGGTACCTCCTTGTGTTGCTGTTTAGTAAGCGTCTAGGTGTGCTTGGTGCAGCTTGATTCTTTAAATTAACAATCAAACTACACATGTACGGAGTCGGTCGCTCTGAGATTCGTGCCACCAAGCACACTCAGGCAGTGAACAATAAAAAAAGAAAAGAAAAGAAAACGGCCCAGGCCGCCTATCCTCTGAGCCATCTAAAAACTACCGAGTACCTAAGTACGGAGTAACCAAGCTAGCTGGGCATGTACCAAGTGCCGAGTGCCGAGTGCCGAGCACCAGACTCTCTTTTACCCTGGTCCAGTTGGCAAGACCGTTCTGATGAAACTGGGCTAAACCTACAGCCTTGGCTTCTTTGTCCGTCCATCCCGACAATATTTTTGTAAATGTCCGCGAAACACAAGCTCGCATGCCACTCTCGAGCCAGCAAACATGGCGTTGCTCGACTGCAAACGGCAACAGAACCGGCAACAGCCATTGGCCACCAATGAGCTCAACGCGCGGCCCCAGAGCCCACCACAGGCTACAACCAGGCCACACAACCCGGCCACTCGACACTTCGATGAGGCTTGGCCGAGGCTTAGCCCAACGACGTCAACATCGACGACGACCACGCCGCCTCTCGTCGTCCGAAGCTCTGCGCAACAGCTTTGGAACTCTTCTGCTCCGCGCCTCTGTATTTCCGCCAGAAACACCCACAGCCCGCTGCCGCCTCTATTTGGGGACCTGGCTACTCCGTAAAGCTTGGCTGCTCTGCGCAGCCGAACCATCCGCTTTTTATCCCGCAGTCGCCAGTCACGTCACACGGCCGACAACGAGCTTCAGGCGCGAGGCAAACGAGAGCATGTCTACATGACGGGATAGCATCGGCAAAATTTATTCCATTCTATTCATCCTCCTCTCGCCTCATCACTGCTACAAGAAGCCTTTTGCGCCGCCACCTGATGGTGTTTGTGCGCCGTCATCTATAATGTCCATCCGCATAGCTCTCGACAACCAGCCCGAGTTCTTCACAAACCTCGACCATGTGACGGGACGCATCATCCTCGGGCTCAATCGCTCCGAGCAAGTCGGCAGTATAGTTGTAAAGCTAGAAGGAGAGTCCGTCACTGCTCTACAAGTCCCGAATCCTTATGAAGAGACTGGCCCCAGACCGACAGGTCCGCTGCCTGGTCCTCCCGGCAGCATCGTGAGTGAGAACCACAAGATTTTATACAAGGTCCAGCAGGTTTTCCCCGACGAATACCACTCAAGTTCTTCGAACCCATATGGCGCCTTCCCGCTGCAGCCGGGAGAACACGAGTTCCCCTTCAAGTTCAAGCTACCCATCAACAACGCCTGCAGCGACCCCATGGCCATGTCCAAGATTGGCGGCCTCGCAGGCGTGGGCGGCTTTGGATCCGGGGGCGGGCTATTTGGCATGGGTGGAGTTCGAGTTATGGATGGCACAAAACAGTTGCACCTTCAGCATGTTACGCGGACCCTCCCGCCATCCTTGACGGGGTATCCCATGGAAGCCGAAGTGCGCTACTATATAAAAGTCACGGTCCAACGGCCCGGATTTCTCAAGGAGAACTGGAGATACCAAATCGGATACAAGTTTCTCCCTATCGAGCCTCCCAGGCCAGCACCAACTGGCCAGGAAGCGTTTGCCCGTCGTCCGTTTACCTTTCGGCCACGATCGCCCGGTCCGCAAAGCAAAAAGAAGAATTCCTTCTTCGCAAAGAAGGGAGACAAGAGCAGCAACGACATCTCGAACAACAATGGTTCCGGTGTCGACTCACCAAACACGGCGCCGGCGCCATCCATCGAGATGTCGGCTCGACTTCCGCACCCCTCGATTCTTACATGCAACCAACCCATTCCTCTGCGGCTAATCGCCAAAAAGCTGGCCAATTGTCCAGAACAAGTCAACCTAATCTCGTTCCAGATGGACCTCATTGGCATTACCGAAGTACGGACATACAACATCTACAACAAAAAGATCAACCGCTGGGTTGTCGTCTCCAGCACCGATCTCCACGTACCCTTGACCTCTGGGCCAGACGCAGAAGTCGGGTCCGAAGTCGTCGTGCCCGATACTTTGTGGAAAGACAGGCCACTCCCCAATACCGTTGCGCCGTCGTTTGTCACCTGCAACTTATCCCGAAGATATGAAGTGGAAATAAAGCTGGGACTATGCTGGGGCAAGGCCAAGTCCAACTTCATCAACAACGCCCCTCAAACAATATTCCTCCCTTTGCACTTTGCAGCGGCAGAAGTCTTCTCGGGCATAACACCACCGCCCGAGCTTGTCAGGGCCGCTAGAAACACTCGACCTGGCCGGGCGACGCTCAATATCCCCCCGCGACTGCCACCAAGACCGGGCAGTTCGGCACCCAGCTCACCGGTTGGTCCGCCGCACACGCAGAACCAGATGCCGAATCCAAACCAGCCCCAAGCGCCGAGACCACAAATGCCACAGCGGCCACCTCAAGATCCATTGTACCCTCCTCAGCTACTGCCTGGGCAAACAGTGCCGCCATACGACGACGCACCGCCAAGCTATGACGAGGCAATAGCCGAGAACTTGTCAGGACCATTTGACGGAATGCAGCCCCGGCCAGCATACAGTGGCGTTACCAACGAGAACGCACCGAGTCAAATGCCTGCGGAGAAGAGATGACGAGGGTGCACATTATGTGATAACGACGGCATCAAAGGATTTTGCAACGGGAGTTTGGGGGGTGGGTTTTCTTGGTTCAAGCACAGGCGGGGCAGCCTCATAATAGACGGTCAGGTTGTTACATGAATAAGACACTGTGTCATAGCAGCAGCGTATAATATGAATCCATAATTCAATCAGCATTATGCAACTTGCGTCATTGTAGTCAACAAAATCCCATAATCAGTCGCATCACGGCATGTGCACAAACAAACCATTCACCACAACCAAGCTCCATCCGATGACGTCAGCCCCCTTCGTCAAAACCAACCCACTCCAGCACTCAGCTCACAACCACCGTTCCCAAGCATCCGAAACCCCAAACTCGCAATGCCGAGATGAGCAAATGCGCCCAGCGAAGCGCATCGCTCGCCTTCCTCGGCACGCGTCCCATCCGTCGCCCATTCTCATGCAGCCCCCGCCTCCCGCGCGCGCGAGACCCTCGCATCCGCGACATAGGCCGACAAATCGAGGACGACTACGCCGCCATCCGCCAACACTACGGTCCGTCCTATCCTCCCCGTTCCTATCTCCTCATCCGCAGCAAAAAAAAGGCTGACACCTCCCCCCTCTAGCAACGCCCAAATACCCCATCGTGCTGGCTCACGGCCTCCTCGGCTTCTCAGAGCTGCACGTGCCTCCCTTCCCGCGCATCCACTACTGGCACGGCATCCGCGAGGCGCTCACGGCGCAGGGCGCAACCGTCGTCGCCACCTCCGTCCCGCCGTCGAGCTCCATCGCCGACAGGGCCGCCAGGCTCGCGGATGAGATTGCGCGGTCCGGCGTCGACGCCGCCGCGGGCGTCAACGTCGTCGCCCACAGCATGGGCGGCCTCGACGCGCGCTGGATGATTGCGCGCACCCTCAAGCAGAGCGGTATCCCCGTCAGGGTCGCCTCCCTGACCACGATATCCAGCCCGCACCGCGGCTCGCCGTTTGCCGACTACGTGCTGCGCGCCGAGGCGGGACTCTTGTACCTCCCGCGCGCGTACCGGGTGCTCGAGCGCGCGGGCCTGGAGACGCGCGCCTTTGCGCAGCTCACCACGTCGTACATGCGGGACGAGTTCAACCCGGCCGCCCCCGACGACCCGGCCGTCAGGTACTTCTCGTACGGGGCAGTGGCGGGCCCCGCGCCGCTGCTGAGCCGTTCCGCGTCCCGGGGAGGATTGTTGGCGAGGCCGAGGGCGCCAACGACGGGCTGGTGAGCGTCCAGAGCGCGCGCTGGGGCGCCTACCAGGGGACGTTGGTGGGCGTCAATCACCTCGACTTGATCAATTGGTCGAACAGGCTGCGGTGGATGGTGAGGGGGTGGATGGGGATGAGGAGGAGGTTCAATGCCGTGGCGTTTTATCTGGACATTGCGGACATGCTGGCCAGAGAGGGATTGTGAGGCTCTGGCAGGAGGAAGGGGAGGATTTTTGGTCAAGAGGGGAACAATGTGAATAGATGGTGAGCACTGGCGTAGGATCGAACAAGCAGCTAGAATGGGGGCTGTTTCTGACGGACAATACTCACGACGGCTCGAGCAAGTTACTTTGTAGAGGTATCAGTATTAGAATATAGAATACAGCAAAGCCTGGCCACGGGCACCCGAGCACAACAAGCCTCCTTTGCCCCGGGTTTCGTAATCCATCTCTGCCGTCCCGACCACACATGATGCATTATGTACATTAACCGATACACCCGTGTCCAGGTAATTGCACTCGATAAACGTTGAAAAAAAATTCAAGTGGTCGGCTGCAAGTCGTTCGCAGATTGGCGCCAGGGAAGAAAAGGGTCAGGTTGAGCAGGACGACGCTGTTGTCAAAAGTATCCGAAACTCGTCACTGCAATCCCTTGCTTTTTTTTTGTGTGTGTGTACTTGTTCCTCTTCTCCCGCGGCCAGCTTGTCACTTCCGATCCTTCTCGCTCCCCATCCACGCCCCAGCTAGCCATCACCCGCCAGAAAAGGGTGACGCTTAGTACTTAGCCGCGGCGCGCTCCTTGGCCTCCCTACGTCGGGAGATGAGTTTGGCGATCCAGAGAGCAATGAGACCGACGGCAACTAGATCATGTTTGTGTTAGCAAGTCGGAGAGGGCGCGTTTCTTGGGCTTGCCATGACCATTGCCCTTTAATTCGGGTCGAATCGGGGGAAGGGATGCATACCGACAAAGACAATGCAAAACACCACCATGACACCAGGATTTCTGGCAGCCCAGTTCTTACGCTTGACGAGCATGCTTGTAGCCTCGCGGGCGATGAGAGAAGTGTCAATGGCAGCCATTATGTTGTTTCGGGAGATGGAGTGGAGAGGCGACGAGTGTTGCTCTACTAGGCGACAAAGTAAACGTTAGTAAACAGCGCAGAAAAATATTCGGGGACCACCAATTGAGCCGGCTGGGAGCCCGGAGGGGGGCCCGTCTTTCGAAACGTCGATGAGCGGTGAAATCAATTGATTGTATTTGGCGATGCGCAACTGGACTCTGTGCGATGGCGTCTCTCTTGAGGGTGATTGTTGGATGCGGCAGGGCGGCCAATTTGGAATTCTGGTGCTTTGGAGCATCCAAGCTCCTCCGATCGCATCGGCTGTGTCGGCAGGTGCAGCAGCTCGAACGTGACGGCTACAGCCAGCCACACGAGGTCCAGAGGCACAGCAACAACGTCCAAAAACAATCAATGATGCACGGCCCAGAGACAATCGACGGACCATTGGCGCCAGCAGCTGGCTCATTCTTGTGATTCATTTACTCACCTGTACTGGCCGTGAGAGAGGATGGAGGTGGAAGAAAGAATTAGCTCGAGTCGCGCGGGTGGACTGGGCCATGATTTTGTTGATCGGTCTTGAGGCACTAGAGTCCGTGGGAAAAGTGGGGATGCACGTCACGGGCCAACCGGGGGCCGGGCATTCTGGGCAACACTGGAACTGGAAACTTGTCCAGCATACCCGAGTCGAACTAGTCTCTGGTCTCCGGCCTACCACGATCAACGTACTATTTTGCATGCGCCGAGCAGAATGCCGTGCTTGGCAAACATGAGCTCAGTCAGTCGGTCAAAAAGGAGCCCTTTGGAGAAGAATGAACCGCAGTCAATTGGGTCCGCTGACTGCCCGTTGGGTTCCAGACAGCCGAATTCACCTCTGCCAGTTCTCGACATGAGCAAGGAAACGTCACGGGCACGACGCAGGCATTAAAGAAAAAAACGCCGCAGCAAATTCCGAAATTCGCTCTAGCGGGCCGGGAAGCGACTGAAGGTCGGTGCGAATGGACTTATTACAAGAGCCTCAAGGGCAGCCGCAAGATACCTGGTAGCTCTGCATGGCATGCAGCACCTCTGCTAATAAGTACCTAGGTAGTAGGTACCTGATCATGGGCAGGTCGGAACACGGCAGTGGGCTGGCCAAACAAGAGCTCAGGGAAAAAATGACCTCTTGCTACTCCGTACAGACGACGACGATAACTTGTGGCTCCCATGTGGTGGATCCATGGCTCTGCTGGGGACAGGCGACGGGATTTGCCTGCGCGAATTTTGAACCACATCCAACGTCGGGTGTTTTGACGCTAGCTAGTGCTTTTCTACGATTCCTCTTCTAGCTCCCTGGGTAAGGACTAGGCCAGTTTGATATCCAGAAGGAGAAGATTGGCTGGGGGGATCATGGGGCTGCGTGATTATGTCTGCCCAGCAGGACAGTCAATAGAACCACTCTGAGCGACCAGTGGCGGCTCGCGCACCACCACGCGCGGAGCAGACGGCGAGGGTA